AGAATATCACCTTTTCTATTGTGTCTCTATGAGAATTCCCGAATACCGCAAGAGCTTTTTCGCACGCTCCGGTTTATAATTGGAAAACCCGGTAACCGGAGCGTGTGATACGTGAAACTTCAAAGTTCCAAGATGATACTCATTCTGTAATGACAAACATGCCTTTTTTGGGATTGGAGGCAAACGAGCAGACGGATCACCTGATGTTAAGTGATCGGCGCTGCCCATGGACACCTGCAATACCAGAAGAGTGCGAGAGAATGAGGTGCGTTGCCGGCCTTTCAGGAAGGAGAACGCTCGTTTCTTTGTTTCTTTTTACACTTCATTCTTATTTCCACATAGGAAAACCATGCTTCAGCACGAATGCACCGGCTTATTTATGTGATAGAACGGCAAACGAGCAGGATTACCTGATGGTAATCAATCGGCGCCACCCGTGGAAAAGAGTTACAAGTGCGTTTTGGGGATTATCCACTGGCAACGCACTCGTAACTCTGTGGGTTTCGGAGATGAAGGGATTGGGGAGCAATCAAAACGTGGCATTTCGCCTTTCGTGGGGTTATGGGAGGCCAAAGCCTTATTCCCGCCTCCTTTGGTGTTGAAGATGATCAAGGACGGTGCCGATTGCTTACCATCAGGTGATCCCACCTTCTGATCATTTAACATCCTATCATCCAAAAATATCTTGCTGGTAACTGTTAGACTCCTTACTACAATCGTGTTCATGCAAAACTCCTTGCAAAAAACATCACGACCCAATTGTAAATTTAATTGCACGTCGATTCAATTTTCTCATCGCTTAAATATTTTTATAAGCTATTTTCTGCAAAAGTATAATCGGCAAAACTACTCGTGTTCATTTGTAAGATTGCATTAAGTATATTGCAATAGATTTTTAGAAATTTTATTTGAATTTTATTCTTTTGGTTAGCGAAGTGAAAACTGAGCCAAAAGTCTTAAAATTAACTTCCGAGATTATTAATTACTTCAAAAAAAAGGATTAGGTTTGTTTTTAATTTGTTGTACTTCAAACGAGCAGACACAGTACCTGGTGGTAAGCAATCAGCGTTGCCCATGGACACCCGTAATACCAGAGGAGTTATGAGTGCATTGCCGGCCTTTTTGGGATTAGGATTTCCCATTCGTGCCGAAATTTGGTTCTCCCACACTTAAAGGGTTTTAATTCCGTAATATTTTATTATTCACAAATGCGATCCAATTGATTTACCTCTACATGCGCCGAAGAGCGGCGACCGCAGTGATACCATAGCCTTACAGAAAACAGGCGTGATACAACCAAAACGTTGTGTTTCGCCAAATCCCTCCCCAATTCCAAAATCTACAAAACCCTCATTCCTAAAAAGACGCCAACGTACTCGTAACTCTTCCGTTGTTGCGGCTGTCCATGGGCGGCTCTCCGGGAACAGGTAATCAGTCTGTTCATTAGCCGTAAAAAAATATATTCTTGACCTGTACACCAATAACATTTGTCGATAGTACCTTCCCATACAAGTAAATACTCTATATTTTTATCTTCAATAGCAATTTGCTATATCCTCTTCACGTAACACCTTGACATTACTATGTCTTCCTTATACATACATATTAAAAGTTTGCAAGTAATCACGTCTAAAATAGAGCACGACTTTAAAAATGATTCTTGAATTTATTTTTTAGCCATGTTGTTAGTGTTAGTCGAGGCCATGGTGCGGAGCGAGAAGAATTGGGCAGCCGTCTCCACTTTTTGCGAAGCTGTGATGCTCGTAAAGGAGGAGACAGAACGTCTAAAGAAACTATCATCCTCGCGTCCCATCCGCCGCAGTAAGTGACATTAAGGGCGTCGGGGATCGAGCTACGATTGTAAGCGCGGGTCTGCGATCGGCCAGCAAGGGTGTCTCGCCGCCTGACTAGAACCAAGCTCAAGCGTACGGCGAAAAGCGTAAAGAGACAATAGACCACCACAGACGGGGCTCATGTTCAGCCAGGGTTGCAGAGCTAGCGCAAGAAGGAAGGTACCGCGGCCTCGGCTTAAAGCAGGAGAAGGAAGGGAGTCTGACACTCCCTCTCGCCATACCCTGGGACAGGGGACAATAATCAAATGACTTCTCATTAGATAATTGTCCCTTAACAAAATAACCCCTAATGCTTAATTGAAATATAAGACAGCAGAGCAAAGAATCAAAATGTAGTCCAGGTAGCGGAATGACTTTTGTGCAGTATCAGATAAGGCAGGGCTGGATAAGATAATCGCTTTGGTCTTTCCTTGACGAGAGGTCTCTAAATGGATTTTCCGCCTCAGAGCGAAAATTAAGATGACCAGCTATTTAAATTATTTGTTTTTCTCAATACTATACAGGGTGTAAGGGACAGCCCTCCACAAATTAACAGGGTGCATTCAGCTCCTTATTCTGAATCATATTCCAGTGAAAATTCTTTCAGGAAAATTTTCAATTTTTTTTTCGTTTTTTCAGTTCCTACACCTCTATTTCAATGTATAATTACATTCTCTGTATGAAGAATAACATTAATTTAAATAACACAGCTAAAACAAAAAAATACGCAATGGTTGTGTGAATTCTCTAAAGAACTACGCGCATGAAATCAGCTGTTCAATTTCTACCTAGCGCGAGTCGTTTGAACTCACCGCACCGCGGTCACGGCGCAGCGGCTCGGCGCCCCACCGCGTCGATCGCCGCGCCGCGCGCCGTAGGTATAATACCTACGATCCCGTCCAACGTACAGAATAGCTGCGTCCCTTTCTATCGCCCCGCCTCCGCGTCTCCCCGTCTCCCCGATTCTTTCTTTGCACAATGTTTGCCCGATTGAACCAGTGTTGCCAATTTTTAACTTTTGTTACCTCAGGTAGTAAACGAAAATGTTAGAACTAGCGAAATTTATCTAAAACTTGAGAACTCCTTTGCATTCATAATTACGTTGATGAGATTTTCATTAATCAATTAATGAAAATCTTGTCGCGCACATAAATTGAATAAGAAATAAATAAAGATTAGTCTAGTTTTAATTTTAAAGCATTTACAAATACTACCTAATTTTATTAATTGATTGTTCTTGTTAAGCGATTACTGGCTAGTTTTTAAACTACTTACAGATTTTTACATGGCTTCACAATAGCCATGAATTGATAGTCGAGCCAGAAATTAAACACAATCTCCCTGGAATGGAAGCACAGCTTTCTATCACACTGCACTTTTATTATGCTAATTTAACTAAACAATGAAATTAGAATTAAATTGATTTAATCAATTCATTTCTCTAAAAAAAATTACAGAATGATAAATTACGACCATGCATAATTTTTTATTTTTTACCCCGAAATTTTGTAATTTTCGTGTAATTGGCAACAACAGATTTATGTTTGTGTGTGTCTCATCACATGCAGTCGCCATTGTGCCTTGCTGCGATGTTATTGTTTGTGTACCGCGAGCGTGTGTCGGCACGGATCGCTCGCGCATTCGGCTTAAAAGTTTTGTTATAAGTAGTGTTGTTAAGTTTTATTAGTTATGTAGTGTGTGAAGTGTAGTGAAGTTTTGTTGTAGAAGTTGTGCGAAATTACTACCTAGGTACGTTTAGCGCGCGTGATTATGGGGAGATGATAATGTGTTGTAGTAGTGTAGGTATCCTGACCGTCGCCATCCATCAGACTCCAGGATAATTACTGGTGACTATCAACGCTTGCTAGAAAACCAGCCCATTGTTCCCAGACAAAAAGGCGCCGGAAGACCAATACCTACGTGGATTTTGGAATTGGTTCGCTAACGTAACGAGACGCTACCACTTACCAGTGCTTTCCTATTTAAACGTAGTTTAGGTAGGTTTGGACCGCAACCGTGGCCAGCACGATCCCCAGACCTAACCCATTTGGACCCCTTTTTGTGGGGTTACGTAAAAGAAAAAGTGTTTGTGAGTGCGTGTGCAAGTGAGTACGAAATGCGAGACCGCATCACAAATGCTTTCCAGAGCCGGAAACCGGAGCGATTCTAAGGTACCTACGCATTTTTCTTTTGTTATCATTTATCAGTTACCATGTTATGATTGTTAGATTTTTTTTTGTAAGTAATGCAGCTATCTTTTAAATAATAATTTATTGTTATTAAAACGTGGCGCGAGCGCGATTATTACATTGTCTTTTGTAAGTAATGCGGCTATCTTTTAAATAATAATTTATTGTTATTAAAACGTGGCGCGAGCGCGACCGTTTGTCTGAACGTAAGGTCGCGGCGCTGCCCATAGTGTAAAGTAATAATACTAAAAGCGCTGCCGTTCGCTGCGTGCGTTTGCGGTGGTAGCGATACATTGCGTGTAAGGTAATGAAACAAATCGGTTTAATTGGATTCCCATAACGTTCCTGAAATAATTTCATGTACCGGTCAACTTAAGACGATATACTGAATCCACCCTATCAGTTTGCGGAAGGCTGTCCCTTACACCCTGTATAATGATCCAAAAATAAAACAGAGAATTACACATCTCTATAAATTTACAGATCTACCTCAATGGAGGTTGCATTTCTATGATCAGTAAGGTCCATTGCACATTATGGTCAATGCGCCTGCGCAGCTTTGCGACCTTCTGCGCGTGCGCGAAATGTTATATCTACAGCTTGGCACGTGGGACGGTGTTATGTTAGATGAATTAATTATTTAAATTAGTATTTTTTGCCATAATTATGTAACTTTATAGAGTTGTGATATTTTTTTTGCCTTGACCTTGTCTGTTTCTATAGTTCAGTGGTCTCAAGCGAGATTACAATTGTGTTTGTGTTTTGTGTTTGGCATACCCCTTTTTCTTCATCCAGGGTTGAGTATCAAGCGCATTAAGTGGCCTTGGCCTGGAGCAAGCTAAGGAGCGGGGTGGTTTTTAGTTTGTTAGAGTCTGACACAATCTCTCGCCCCAACCACGGAAAGAGAAGTCATTTGATGATTCCTCTCCCACTCAGGTTCTTGTGATTTTAAGTGTGGGAGAGCTATGCTTCGGCACGAATGGGTCGGCTCGACCGGAGTGATACCACGGCCTCACAGAAAACCGGCGTGAAATAACCACAGCGTTGTGTTTCGCCGTGTGAGTGAGGTTACCGGAGGCCCAATCCTTCTCCTCCGCCAATCCCTCCTAAATCCCTAAATCTCCAAATCCCTAATCCCTAAAACGTCGGCAACGCAGTCGTAACTCCTCCGTTGCGAGTGTCCATGGGCGGCGCTGATTGCTTACCATCAGGTAATCCGTATGCTCGTTTGCCAACATATTAAATAAAAAAAAAAAACACAAATTGTAAGTAGGTCCGGATCTGGGTGTGATGTGCATATCTAGGTATTCTAGTTTGTAAACTCCCTGACGACACAGGAATAAAACTAGTGGAGGGCACTATTAAGAAAAAAAAACAAATAATTATTAATATTTACTTTTAATTAATGGAAGTAATTTATTTTATATATTACTTAATCAGTCCATTCATCAATTACCTAGATTATAATGAGCATTAATTAGTTTCATTTTACTTAATTATCTTTTAAGTACCATTTTTTTATTTATGTTCTTCTATTTACAAATACAAAAAGACTAATACATCTTACTCCTTCTCTGTCAAAAAGTTTGAAAATTAGTATCAACTTCCATGACAAGTAGAGTAGGTAAAGTAGAAAATTGTAGTAGTAGTGTAGTAAAGGAAAAAATTGATTGACAAAGATCGAAAGTGATACCATTCACTGAAAACAGGTGAAACCACACTTAAGTCATTTTATCTCCATGTGAGTGTACATAGAGATTTAAGTGTGGGAGAGCCATGCTTCGGCACAAATGGGTCGGCTCGGCCGGAGTGATACCACGGCCTGAAACAACCACAGCGTTGTGTGTCACCGTGTGAGTGAGGTGACCGGAGGCCTAATCCTTCCTCTCCCCCAATCCCTCCTTAATCCCTAAATCTCCAAATCCCTAATTCCTAAAAGGTCGGCAACGCACTCGTAACACGTCCGGTGCGAGTGTAAAAAAAAATCTCTACTAGTTTCAATTCACAATGGGACTCATTATATCAATACATTTTGTGTGTCTCACGATAGTTAAAAACTATTTAAAAATAGTAGATAATTATTCTTTAATAAGTTACCTATTTATATTTAAGTAAATATACTTTTATGATCAGGATAACAATGAAACCAAACCTCCAACAAGCAATTTACCAACCGACCACAACGAGTAAATAAATTGCTTAATTCTAGTCATAGCTACTTACAACATAAACCGGTCCTTTAAACAGCGAAGGTTTAATTCTAAATAGTCTGTCGTACGAAGTTTTAGTAGAGTAATCCGCGCCGCCGCGGCCGGCATCCGAACTGGCGTTCCTAATTTATTTATTATTCGATATCTATTTATTTATTTATTATTTATATTATTTTCTAATCGCCATGTTGAAAATTTTTACCGTACTGTTTTTTGGTAAGTTTGCTTATTATTTTTTTATTTATGTATAGGTATGTGTGTGTGTGTGTGTGTTTTTATGCAAAACGACTGCATTGATTTGGATAGTTCAGGTGCATTTTATTTAGGGATCCCAGAATTTTGGTAAGATTGTATTTATCAATGAATACTCACGTAAAGATTTGTTAATTAAGGTTTTTGGACAGGTATCTTTTAAACTATTTGTAAGCGCGAAGTTAAATAAAAAATAAAGGTGTTCGCGTTTGAAATATTTTTATACCTATATTTTAAGGTTTTAAAAAATGCCACTGCGGTTTTTACAGGCTCGTTTCCAATTATAACAATGCATTTTAAAGTTCAAGAGTTTGTTTATTTTATTACTTATTTTCATGTATTTCTTTTGTTTTAACTTCTTTACACATATTGTCTTGTGTTGCTTAGGTACCTACTTTTCTCCTTTCCAAGGACTGCAGGAAGTGATTCCAAATAGGAATGTGTAGTACCTATGACCCTCTGTTTCTGTATTTGTTTTCTCATGTATGCTGTATTTGTGTTGTGCATAATACACTTTACTAAGACTCGAACATTATAAATGACCAAAGTAAAAAATAAATTAATAAAAAATAATAAATAAATTATATCTTTCCGCTATCCATCTGAATATTGAAGCCTAGAATTGTTCCTATTAGTCGTAGCGTAATGTTTTATAGCCTATAATAGCCTTACTTGATAAATGCACTATACAATAAAAAAAAATGGTACAATTCGTACCAGTAGTTTCGGAGATTCGCGCGTTTAAACCAACTCTTTAAGTTTTTTCCTATACTAGCATCCCAAACCGATTTCGCACATGTGTAAAGCTGATACAAAATTTCTCCACTGTTTAATGGATGTTGTTACATTTATAAACCTTACTCCTTAATCACTCTATCTATTAAAAAAACCGCATCATAATCCGTTGCGTAGTTTTAAAGATTTAAGCGTCCATAGGGATACAGGGACAGAGAAAGCGACTTTGTTTTTAACTAGGTATGTTGTGAAGTATAGACGTTATTATAAGTACTAAATAAGATTATTTAAAGTTTTTTTTTATTTTTGTTTCGTTTTTTGTTAAATAACATTCGTTATCTAATGTTATGTTATGATTGTAATACAAATTGACCTTGCCAGTCCAATGGCCGCCAAGTTTGACCGCTGAATACAAGGTCTTACATTCGATTTCCGTATCAGAGTAAATATTTATCGGATTTTTACTAAACGTTTTAAATGTTTGTTTGTTGTTTGATAATACCTAATATTGTGATTGGTTTTATTTAGATCTAGATTACTAGTGAGATTATCTTCATAAATGCATAAATCTTGAGTACTATATACTTAAATTGAATATTTTTTTCGAAATGTGAAAATCAATAGTTTTCTACGTATAAATTTTGTACGCGACTGTGTTTTTTAAGTATTTTTCTTGGTGGACGTTTTTATGTTTTTGATTTTTTTTAGTTTTTTTCTTGGTGGACGTATTTTTATGGTGTTTGTGTTTTTCGAGTGAGGAAGTTCGTCTTATAACTCTCTCCCAAAAGCTGAGTTGAGCGAGTGGAAGTGTCAGACTCTTACTGACTGAAAACCATCCCGTTACTTCTCCTGCTCCGGGCCGGGGCATACGGAACAACTCTTTATGTCACAAACTGTTGTTCCGGGTCTGAGTGTGATGTGTATGTGTGTGAAATTGTTCGTTTATATCCGCACCCACAACACAGGAGAAAATCATAGTGTGGGGCAACGCTTTTATAAAAAACAAGAAAAAGAAATATTGGTCTGGGCCATAGTTTTTTTTATGGAATAGGTCGGCAAACGGCTTACTTGATGGTAAGCAATCAGCGCCGCCCATGGACACCCGCAACACCAAAGGAGTTACGTGAGTGTGAGTGTGTTGCCGGCCTTTTAGGGATAAGGATTTCAGTTATTTAAGGATTGGGAAGGGATGTGGGGAGGGGTGTGATTGGGACTCCGGTAACCTCACTCACACGGCGCGAAACACAACGCTGTTGTTGTTGCACGCCGGTTTTCTGTGAGGCCGTGGTATCACTCCGGTCAAGACGACCCATTCGAGCCGAAGCTTGGCTCTCACACACTTAGCTTTAGCTTAGTAGCTTTTCTTTCTTCTAAATACTATTTCTTTCTTTTAAAAGACTTGACATATAAAGTTTTCTTCTGTCTTCCCTCAGTACTGGCAGCAGTCTTCAGTCAGCAGCCAACAGACTACTACCACAATCTCCACTTACCTCACGATCCCCCCCTCCATCCAGTTCTGGCGGTCGCTCCCCCTACTGGGTTCACCTGCCATGGTAGAACCAGGGGGTATTATGCCGATGTCCAGAGTGGATGCCAGGTATGAATGTGCTTACTATCACGCTTTTATCAAGTCAAACTGACTTGTTTAACAAAAACTAGGAGTCTGAGTTACAGACTTATTGTTTACAAAACAATTACTTACATTAATATAGACAAAGAAAAAAAAGATTACAAAATTTTTAAAAGAATGGACTAAAAGATTTTTTTTATCGTTGTATCATCATGAAACTTATCAATTATTATGAAATCAAAGTCAAAGTGAAAAACATTATATTCTAACTGAACCATATATTTTAGGAACTTTATAGTCCTTCAGTGAAGCTAGGTGCTCCTTCCAAGATAAAGAAAAACAAGCAAAATACATTGGTCTATCCAAAAATAACAGGGTGGTTTTTAGCCTGTCTGACACTCCCTAATGATGATCTCGAGATCACCTCCCCCCTCAAAAAATAATAATGAGATAAGCAGAGATGCATATAAAAAGTAGAAAACCAACTTTCCGTGGCCGGTTTGACGAGGCAGTCACTTGTCTAGGCAGTCACTTGTCGAGGCAGACACTTGTCGAAGCAGTCACTTGACTAGGCAGTCACTTGTCTAGGCAGTCATTTGTCTAGGCGGTCACTTGACTAGGCAGTCACTTGACTAGGCAGTGAGTTGTCGAGGCAGTCACTAGGGCATCGAGAACCGGTCCTATTTTAGGAACCGGTTCTTTCGGTTCTAAATTTTAGACGGCGCCGGGTACCCGGTTCTTTCGGTTCTCTCGGGTTTTATCATAAATTCTATTTGAAAAGTCTCATTTTTATATTTTTTTTGAATGACACTCAAATTACAACATATTTTTATAACTATTTTGTAACTATTGTTATTTTATTATGTCCAAAATTTGAATTTCGCGCGGTGTCATGGAGCATTTACTTCAATGTCCCTTGTTAGTTTCTTAAAGATTTATCATTAATAATAAATTATAACGTTATTTATTAGTTGAACAGTGAAATAACAGCATATATTCTCTCTTAATAATAAATTTGGATAAGAGTTGAAGGAGACTCGGGGGAAGGATGTATCTCAGTAAGGCGCTGGTAGGGGTCTTGACCGTACTTCCGGGATTGCTCTGATAGCCGTGGGATGCCTCTCCTTCACCAAGCAGCTCAACGTATGTTGCCTCCGTATCGCTACATGCTAGCGGCAGTTTCCGGGGGCCCATTTTATTGGGTTTGCCAGTCACCTCCTGCCTGTTTATCCGTTTACATATATCAATATTGGTCAGGGGCAGGGGCCATAGTATTTCTATAGTTATCATATCCACCAGTCCATAGCAACCCATACCCATAACCCTTTCAGTTATTATAACCACATTTCGCAATAGTCCTGCATCAACCGGGGATTATCCTTGGGTGCACTTTCATAGTGCATACAGGGATAATTGCCGGCTGATGTCCCATTTCACTTATGTTAAAGTTGTTCAACGGGCCTCTGCGAGTTGGCTTCGACCCCTCGTACACCTTCTAAAGGTCCGTGATCCTGTGATCCCGTGAACGGAAACGAAAATTTGGATAATAACTTGATATTTACAGACCGTAACAGAACCGTAAGAACCAAAAAAACCGGTTCCTTGTTTTACAGAATCGGTTCTATCAGTGTCTTCCAGAACCGGGACTTCCCGGTTCTTTCGGAACCGGGAAAAACTGGTTCCGATGCCCTAGCAGTCACGTGTCGAGGCAGTCACTTGTCGAGGCCGTCACTTGTCGAGGCAGTCACTTGTCGAGGCAGTCACTTGTCGAGGCAGTCTCTTGCCGAGGCAGTCACTTGTCGAGGCAGTCACTAGTCGAGGCAGTCACTTGCCGAGGCAGTCACTTGTCGAGGCAGTCACTTGTCGGGGCAGTCACTTGTCTAGGCAGTTACTTGTCGAGGCAGTCACTTGCCGAGGCAGTCACTTGTCGAGGCAGTCACTTGTCTAGGCAGTCACTTGTCGAGGCAGTCACTTGTCGAGGCAGTCACTTGTCTAGGCAGTCACTTGTCGAGGCAGTCACTTGTCGAGGCAGTCACTTGTCTAGGCAGTCACTTGTCGAGGCAGTCACTTGACTAGGCAGTCACTTGCCGAGGCAGTCACTAGTCTAGGCAGTCACTTGTCGAGGCAGTCACTTGTCTAGGCAGTCACTTGTCGAGGCAGTCACTTGACTAGGCAGTCACTTGTCGAGGCATTCACTTGTCGAGGCAGTCACTTGTCTAGGCAGTCACTTGTCGAGGCAGTCACTTGTCTAGGCAGTCACTTGGCGAGGCAGTCACGTGTCGAGGCAGTCACTTGTCTAGGCAGTCACTTGTCGAGGCAGTCACTTGTCGAGGCAGTCACTTGTCTAGGCAGTCACTTGTCGAGGCAGTCAATTGTCTAGGCAGTCACTTGTCGAGGCAGTCACTTGTCGAGGCAGTCACTTGACTAGGCAGTCACGTGTCGAGGCAGTCACTTATCGAGGCAGTCACTTGTCGAGGCAGTCACTTGTCGAGGCAGTCACTTGTCGAGGCAGTCACTTGTCGAGGCAGTCACTTGTCGAGGCAGTCACTTGTCTAGGCAGTCACTTGTCGAGGCAGTCACTTGTCTAGGCAGTCACTTGTCGAGGCAGTCACTTGTCTAGGCAGTCACTTGTCGAGGCAGTCACTTGTCGAGGCAGTCACTTGTCTAGGCAGTCACTTGTCGAGGCAGTCACTTGTCTAGGCAGTCACTTGTCGAGGCAGTCTTTTGACTAGGCAGTCACGTGTCGAGGCAGTCACTTATCGAGGCAGTGACTTGTCGAGGCAGTCACTTGAGTAGGCAGTCACTTGGACAGGAATTTCATTATTACAATTTTTTTAATGTAAAAAATACTGTAATAATTAAAATGAAAATGTAACTATGTTGTAAATATTTCAGGCCTTTCACTACTGCTGGCGGCAACATTTAGTGAGCACGGAGCTCTGCGCCAACGGGACTCTCTTCAATGAGCAGTTTCAAGTAAGTTCTTAAACATAATTATCCACCATTTTTTATTAGTAAAGTTTCTCAACTTGCCTTCAGACGTTCTCGTGTGTCAAGATAAAACGTCAAGCATTTTTAAAAAGCTAAACATGTTTATTTTTGATACCACATGACCCGATACCACGTATCTCACACGAAACGTACGTAAAATAACCATGTAAACTTAATAAATTGTGTATTTCGACTTTTTGTGGATGGGATTTTAGTTACATTGCCATATTAAAAATATACTCATACTTTAATTGATTAATCAAATCAATCAATTGAAGTATAAAGAAAAATGTTTAAAGATATACTTTTGATGTTTTAACATCTTGACTTACCAAAAGGGATTACCATTTTAGCATACAAAGCTTGTCAGTGCCGGCGTTAGGGGAGGGGGGACGTGATTGGGCGATGGCCCAGGGCGACAAATTCTGGAGGGCGCCAAGGCCTGAAGTTGGGGTCTCTTGCCTTTCTTGGTGCAAACCCTCAGAACTGTGCTCTAAGCTCTGTGCATATGCATATTTTCTATGTTTTTTTTTTTTAAGATGGATTTTTTGAGGGTTTGTGGTCGAGGAGTAACTCTAACGATAATATCAATACGAACAGCAAAAAACTAACACTTGATATTGCTTCCCTGAAGTGGGCGCCAATATAGTTTCGCCCGAGGTGTCAGTGACCCTTACTGAAGCTGCACTGAAGCTTGTTGTTGTGCGTTACGAAAATGGTAACGAAATCCGAGAGTTTCTTTTTTCGATTAAAGATTTCCTTAATAGATACCTAATTGCTCTTGCAGATTTGGAGCATATAAAAACTTTATATTACTTTCATAATTTCTTTAATAATGTTCGCAGCCCCGGCTGAACTTTAACTTTTGACGTTTCTAATAAAGTTGTAGATATAAATTTGTATTTTCTCAAACAAATTTTAATGTACATGTTTTTTTCTATTTGCAGGTTTGCGACCATTTCTACAACGTGCGATGTGGATCTCCCTACGAAGATTTGTAAATTAATCAACTAATTAAGTAACTAATTTAAATATATCGTTATTTATTACTTAGTTTTTATTTATTTTGTTTTATTTGAACTCCTTTTTCGAGAATGGCAAAATCCAATAACTTCTTCCGTCTGCGTGAGGCCAGAGTAAATTTAACTAATTAATGAATAATACAATACCAAGCTCACCTGTTTTCATAATACGAAAGAGAAATTAGAGAAAGAAGAGGATGATTAATTTAAAAAAACAATAAATAATAATTATTATTATTTTTATTTGAGTTCTTTTCCGTTCACGGGCTTGCCTTAATTGGCTGGCTTGAGTGGAGATTCGCAAGAGTAGGAGTTGAAGGAGACTCGGGGAAGGGATATTTCTCAGTAAGGAGCTGGTAGGGGTCTTGACCGTACTTCCGGGATTGCTCTGATAGCCGTGGGATGCCTCTCCTTGCCCAAGCAGCTCAACGTATGTTGCTTCCATGTCGCTACTTGCTAGCGGCCGTTTCCGGGGGCCCATTAATGGATTACTATTAAAGAATAATAATAAAAAAAAACAGAAATATTTTGTGACAAACACATTGTTTTATTTATAAACGTAAAAAAAACACAAGAATAGGTAATTAGACAAAAACATGAGTATTTTAAAAATACATACTTTTTATTACAACTAATCTTTAAATTTTCAAATCGCTGACCGACTTAGCAAAAATATTTTAAAATAATTTCTACGTAGATTTATCAGACCATATTTATTTTAATAAAATCCAAGAGACACGCTTCGACCGGAGTGACCACGGCGTGAAACAACTACAGCTTTATGTTTTGCCGTGTGAGTGAGGTTACTGAGGACCAAACCTTCCTTCTATCACATCCCTGATCCTCAAAACCCCATCCTTAAATCCCTTATAGCTCACAAGAGGCCGGCAGCGGTCGCGGATCGCTTACCACCAGGTGATCAGTCAGAACGGTAGACGCCATATCACATAAGAAATGAGAATTTCCTTCTTTATGAAGTCGATAAAAAGTACATTTATAAAATAAAATAATAATACAGTCTGATATACCTATGTACAGCATCCTAAAAATATATATATATTAAAAGAAATGATCACACACTTGACATAGGTATACCTACATACATACATATATAAGTAAAATATAACTACTTACTTACATATTTACAAACTATTTTATACTAATGCCCGGTGTCCGAAAGCCCGATCAATGTTAAAATCAACTAACTAGGTGTCAAATCTCTTGTCAAGTCATCTGATTGGTTGTTGATAATTCAGTCAACCAATCAGATGACTTGACAAGAGATTACATTGATTTTAACATTGATCGGCCCTTACGAAACCGGGTGTAAGTAACTATTGTTTATTTCATGTATTTATAAAAAATTACGACTTTCTCACGTTAATTAATCTTTCAACCGTAGTAATTCGAGACTCCATAGATGAACCACAGGTGCGCGAATGCCGGCATTCGCTTGAGGTGTGATGAATTAAAAAAGAAAGACTCTAAGCTAGTTTTAGTCATAACGAGACTCTTTTTCACAAAGATCCGATTTACGTAGTTGTGACTTGAAACTAAACTAAAAAAACTTGAGCTTTTCTCTTTTATTTCATCACACCTCAAGCGAACGCCGGCGTTCGTGCACCTATGGTTCATCTTCTCAGTTAATTAACGTAAGTCATTATTTTTAATAAATTGAGTATGTCTCACGATATTTGTTAGGTACTATACAAAAATAATTAATTAATTTGTGACAGTAGTAGTAGGTATAAAAGTTATTTCAAAATTGATGTCTATTTTTATAAAAAAAACATCAATCAATTCGTCAGTCATTGGAGCTGTATTATATATCTATGTTTGAGTAGTAAAACTGTATCAGATAAATTTGAATAAACGAGATAATTGCTATGCACTATGTGTCACATAAGTAAGTCTATTGGGTACTTATACAAAGGTTGAAACGGACCTGAACTGACTTATAATGTATCAAAACTACTTATCGCAGAAAAGTTCTGCCCGAAATGTTTTATAAATAATACACAAAGGCGTTTTAAGTATAATAATCACATAATTTAAGAAGAATCAGCAATTTCTTTATTAAAAAACAAATTATAATGGATGACTTTTCAATACAATAAAATATTTAAAAATATAAAAATCACACTTCTATACATTGATTCACATGATACTTATACAAAAAATTTTCAGAAAATTTACGGAGACACGGCGTAGCATTTAATCTAACCTACCTAGTTTACGTAATTTCTACCAAAAGTTAGGTAATGTCTGTCAAATGGTAGGTTATTTCTACCAAATGGTAGGTAATGCCTTCTGTATATTAGGTAACGTCTACTGAATGTTCAAACCTACGTAATGACAACCAAATGGTAGGTAATCATCAATCAAGTTGTAGATAATTTCTACAGAATGTCAGATAATGCCTACCGAATGTAAGATTAACACCCGGTTTCTGAAAGGCCGATCAATGTTAAAATCAATTTAATCTCTTGTCAAGTCATCTGATTGGTTGAATGAATAATCAACAACCAAGCAGATGACTTGACAAGATATTTAACAGGATATTAGTTAATTTTAGCGTTGACAAGCCTTTCAGAAACCGGGTGTTAGTCTATCAAATGTCAATAAAGTGTCTTGCTAGACTGTACTACATTTAGTAGACCTAATTAGTGATGACTGATATGTTGCCATGTTTAGGCATATACACATATTAAGAGAGCCTAATTTCTATGCCTTTTTTTTTGAAAGGAATGGTACTCGTTATATTGAGTTGTCTTATTTAAGGTTGTTTTTAAATAGTTATTCGTCACATAATGGAGTAGGTAGTGGAAAAGATTTTCTTTAAGTTTAAGTTAAAGTATTTTTTTTTTAGTTTCATACTAGAAAAGTTTGGAAAACGACAAATTATCACAAAAAAATCATTTAAGAACACATTAAGTTTTTATAGTCAACAGTTACCTTAGAAAATCTTCGAGTAGGTCGAGAATGACTTCTTCATTTGATGATTTTTGACCTACGAAATAGAGTTCACTTTGCAATTAGCAAAAGTGTACCGTTTCTTTGACAGAAAAACTAAACTCCATGCAAATTTAAACCTTATGACATCAGGAACAAAATTACAATTGCAACGCAACTAAAGCACAAAGGGCGATACCAAATAAACTACTTGTAATGCTATGCCCATTCCCTCCTTTATCCTCACTCCTGACTTCATTATCACTTTCCAAACGCTTAACTTCATCTAAAATCTTTTTCTCCTCTATTGCTAAGGTGATAGCGTCGTTAATCGTTTGCATTAGCGCGTAGTTTGTGTATTTCGGTTGTGGAAGGCGTAGTTGCAGTGTGTTGTCTTCTAACACGTAGGCTGGGCCTTTAGAGCCTACTAGGCTAACTGTGGAAGAAAATTTTTCGGTTAGATAAAAAATGTATGATTTTCCCCATAAATTTTTATTCATTTTTCTTTTATTTTATTTTAATTGCTTATAGCGTCACTGACGAACGGACTGACGGAGTTTTCTATTTTGACCTTTCAAATATACCTGTGTGTCTTGAGTGTGGGAGAGCCGTGCTTCGGCACGAATGGGTCGAGTCGACCGAAGTGATACCACGGCCTCGTAAAAAACAGGTGTGAAACAACTAGAGCGTTGTGTTTCGCCGTATGAGTGAGATTACTGGAAGCCCAATCCTTGCCCAATCCCTAATCCCGCACTCGTAACTCCATAATTGCTGCGAGTGTCCATGGGCGATGCTGATTGCTTACCATCAGGTATTCAGTCTGCTGGTTTGCCGACCTATTACTAGAGAAGCGAGTTACAAGTGTGGAAGAGCCAACTAAGTGTGGGAGAGCCAAGCTTCGGCACGAATGGGTCGGCTCGACCGCAGTGATACCACGGCCTCACAGAATACCGACGTGAAACAACCCACAGCGTTGTGTTTCGCCGTGTGAGTGAGGTTACCGGAGGCCCAATCCCTCCCCTTCCCCTATCCCTTCCCAATCCTTATATCCGCAACCCCTATCCCCAAAAGGCCAGCAACGCACTCGTAACTTCTTTGGTGTTGCGGTTGTCCATGGGCGGCGCCGATTGCTTACCATCAGGTAATCCGTCTGCTCGTTTGCCGATCTAATACCATAAAAAAACAGTCTTTAAGTTTGTTTATAGTGCTTGATTGCTTACCATCAGGTACTTTCTAGCCTTGTCAGCAAAACAAAGAAATTCCGTTTTGGGAGCACATTCATTATGCGTACAGCCAAGGAGTGGAATTCCTTGCCGGAGTCGGTGTTTCCTGATAGTTACAATCTGGGTATCTTTAAGTCAAGAGTGAATAGGTTTCTTCTAGGTAAGCGCGCTCCATCGTCGACCGCATCGTCGCTTTCCATAAGGTGAGATAGCGGTCAAGCGCGAAACTATAATCAATAAAAAAAAAACAACTTACCATCAGGTATATTCAAGTTCTTAGCAGCCTTGTTGACGACGGGGTCGTTCACCATCCTTCTATGGCGCTCCACGAAGTCTATATAGGCATCCGTTTCATTGCAATTGCCTCTGAAGTCATCTGTGTCGATGGACCACACCATAACGCCACCAAGACCTTTATCTATGGCCATCCTGTGGGAAAAACCGTAGGATATTTAGATACATTGTTAGAATGTTATCAAAATACAATGTTATTTTAGGTTTGTTGTTACTTTGTCTAACACCCGGTTTCTGAAAGGCTTGTCAACGCTAAAATTAACTAATCTCCTGTTAAATCTCTTGTCAAGTCATCTGATTGGTTGTTGATTTTTTTTTTTCATGGTATAAGTCGGCCAACGAGCGTACAGATTACCTGATGGTAAGCAATCGGCGCCGCCCTTGGACACCCGCAACACCAAATGAGTTACGAGTGCGTTGCCGGCCTTTTGGGGATAGGGGTTGCGGATAAAAGGATCGGGAAAGGATAGGGGAAGGGGAGGGATTGGGCCTCCGGTAACCTCACTTACACGGCGAAACACAACGCTGTGGTTGTTTCACGCCGGTATTCCGTGAGGCCGTGGTTACACTCCGGTCGAGCCGACCCATTCGTACCGAAGCTTGGCTCTCCCACACTTCATAATTCAGTCAACCAATCAGATGACTTGACAAGAGATTAAATTGATTTTAACATTGATCGGCGTTTCGGAAACCGGGTGTAAGAGTGGGAGAGCCATGCGTCGGCACGAATGGGTCGGTTCGACCGGAGCGATACCAGGACCTCACAGAACACCGGCGTAGGGACTGGGGAGGGATTGGGGAAGGGGAAGGATTGGACCTTGATTTTCTGTGAGGCCGTGGTATTGTTTTACAGTAGTATTTTGTATATTTGTGGCGAAACACAACAAAGACCTTAACCTAACTTAATTAATATTTTTGGAAATTTACTGTTACAACGAAAAAGCGTTTATTCGGCCAACACAGCTAAAATCAGGCAGTCATAGGTTTAAAATAAAGTTGAAAATTAAACAACTTACTTGACTTTAATAGCAATAGATCGTCCATTATCGTACGAGATGACCTTCTCTCCGTCTCTGAGGTATGGCGTTGAAGATTGATCATGCCAGTGGTATACCCAAGGGGAAGATTTGTTCATTGTCTCCACACAGATCTGGAAGTAAGCAGGGTTTTCGGAGTATGTTCCTTTGGTTTGCAAATATATGAATAAGCAAATAATGAAGCCAAAAAATAATAAAAGACCTGATCTCATAAAGAAGGGTGATTGTGTGTGTGATGATTAAAATAACTGACTTTAATCAAACTACAATTCGTGTATGATTAAATAATCCGGGATTGCGGGCAATAACTACCGGGGCCTCAGCCTGAGACAGAAGAAGGAACTTGGTGGCTTTTAGTCAGTAAGTCTGACACTTCCTCTCGTACCATAAAGAGCGAGGGAAGTCATTTGATTGCCTTTGCAATCCCCCCCCCCCCTCTTCTCCTTTCAAAAACAGGTCCCTACCATTTGGATAGGGTAACGTGACATTTGATATTTTTTTTATGTAATAATAGGTCGGCACACGAGCAGACGGACTACCTGATGGTAAGCAATCAGCGCCGCCCATGGACACCCGCAACGGCGGAGTTACGAGTGCGTTGCCGACCTTTTAGGGATTAGGGTTTTGGAGATTTTGGGATTGGAAGGGATCGGTTAAGGGGAAGGATTGGGCCTCCGGTCACCTCACTCACACGGCGAAACACAACGCTGTGGTTGTTTCACGCCGGTATTATGTGAGGCCGTGGTAGCACTCCGGTTGAACCGACCCATTCGTGCCGAAGTTGGGCTCTCCGACACATATTTGAAGTTAATAGAATTCTTGAAGAATAGAAAAAATATTATAGCCATTAAATTTTGTCATTTCATTTCTTTTTGTTCCTGTGTTGTGGTTGCGTTTACAAACATACAAATTCACATAGTTACACATCACACCCAGACCCGGAAAAACAATTTGTGGATCACAGAAAGAGTTGTTCTTTGCGGGAATAAAATCAAGAAAACAATAAAATCTCACCTCATTGTACCCCATGAAACCAGCTTCACCAGTATAAGGTCCTTTGAACCCAGTCGCCTTCACAGGAGTAGAACCATACTCCAAGACCCTGGAGCCAGGGTCTGTCAGTAAGAAGGTCCGGCCATACATTGGAAGACCAAGCACCATCTTGTAGGGGCTCACGCCGTGGGCAAGAAGATATTCTACCGTCCATTCCTGGGGAGAAAGGGGTATTTTTTAGTTATAAGTACAAAAAAACAAGAAGAAGGGCCTCTTCTGATATGGAGAAAGTAAGTGATTAGGATTTGTTCAAGGCGACTTGGCGAAAATTAACACAAGTGAAAATTATCTGCCTACGATGTTTTCTCACACTATGCCTTAAATCAGAAATGAGAAACACACGACCGTGAAGCAGAGTGAGAGTATTTATAGTCATATCAGGCGAACCATACCTCTGGACTATTTCATTCTTTCGGACTAAATTTGGCAACGAGCAAATAGCTTCACTACTAGAAGACTGACCGACAGACTGACACTTATTTACATATAAAAATTTCTTTATATGAGGTCTAATTGAAATAATTCTCACTCTCTCTCTCTCTCTCTCTCTCTCTCTCTCTCTCTCTCTCTCTCTCTCTCTCTCTCTCTCTCTCTCTCTCTATCTCTCTCTCTGCAGAGAGGCATTCTAAAATAAAACTCTGTAAAAATGGTAGGAGAATGACTCGCCAAATCTACTTACCACACTTAAAGTATCATTTTCATTGATTCCTTTCAATGGTGCGTTGGCTCCTAGCACTCCATCCCAGGTACCATGGTAATCGTAGCACATCATATGTATCAGGTCTAGATACCGGCTCAACTTGGCAAGGTCGTAGGCTGTCTCCATTGTCGATTTTCCAGCTCCAAGCGCCGCTGTTAGAATGTAGCCGTACGGCTCGAACGCTTCACTGAGTTCCTAGAAATAACAGTTGGAATTCTTCAGGCATTTTTTTTTTTCGAAAGTTTTCTTTGATTTTGCTATTAATTTTAAGGCTATACTTATCTAGTTATGATTACAGATTCTTGGAATAATGGTTGGAATTCTTTAGGCATTTTTTTTTTTGGAATTGTTTTTAGGAAGAATTTATTTTGCTATTAGTTTCAAGGCAATATTTAACCACCTATGGATACAGAATGTTTCAAATTAGTGAGAGCAGACAGTCTGATATTTAGACACAATACATGATCAACATATAAGTGCCCACTGCTACGCTAAGGTCTTTACTCACACGGAGAAGGTTTGAGCACTGGTCACCACGCTTGCTCTAGGTGGGTTGGCGATTTCAAACGGTTTGGCGATAATAAGAAATTATAAGTCCTAATAGTCTCGTTACCCGTTTTCTTTCAGCGTTTAATAGTAGTGGTGTCTAAATAATCTTGGAAAGTGATATACATATAAATTGGTAAAATTCACATAGGTTTTTTTTTTATGAGAGGAATATCATCAAAATACTTCTCCCCTCCAAGATGGGGCAGGATGGAGCGTCAGACTCTTACTGACTAATTAAAACATTTTTTTAAAAACAACAACCATTGTTGGACATAACTTATTACTATACTATAAACTTTTTGCTGGTTTCGAAAAATATTTCAGAAAACGTGCCGAGACACAAAAAAGCTTGATTGTTTTGTCATACCTTCACAAGTAGAACAAAGTTCTCCCGATCGTATGGTTTGCCGTCTCTCTTTGTTGGGTACTCCCAATCCAAATCCAGGCCATCGAATTTGTAGTTACTGGAAAAGATGAAGAAATATATAGTTATAACTTTAGGTACTACTTTATTTTAATTACCGTTTACTGCATAAGAAAAACAAAACACGCCAGCTTTAAAAGTTCTGGCTTCACTAGTTTAAAAATTTCTGATTAGTAGAAGGAATACTTGGAAACTTGCGACCCTATCTTCGCGGGCGGCGTCAAAGATGTAGGTAGCTGAAACCTGTTTTGTGATAAAAGACAAGTGAATGAGTTTAGAATATAACTTTTTTGGCAGTTGTTTGATATCGGTCGTACTATAACGTATTTTTTGTGAGGGCAAAATCCTCATATGGTGTGTGAGTATCAGACTCTTACTGACTAAAATCCCCCCTGATCCTTCTCCTGCTCTAGGCCGAGGCCTCAACACCCGGCCGAACGTGGTGGTCTATTGGCTCTTTGAGGCGCGCGCGGATTGCTACCCGACTACGCTACGCAAACGGTCGCGAGTGGGTACTATAACATGCTAAACTGTAAATTTTTTTTATGTATTAGGACGGCAAACGAGCAGACCCATAACTTGATGGTAAGCAATCAGCGCCGCCCATGGACACCCGCAACAACAGAGGTGTTACGAGGGCGTCACCGACCTTGTGGCGATTAGGGATTTGGAGACTTAGGGATTGGGGGAGGAGAAGGATTGCATTGATTACTAATTAAATTTCATATAATATAAAACAAACTGTTACCTACATGGTCTAAAGAAATAGTAGCCTATACTTCCAGTTCCTCAAGTATCTCTAGGCCGAAAATTCATACTACAAAATCGCTCTGTTGCGAAGTGTCAGACAGGCAAATAAACTGACAAACTCGAATGTTGAATGGCTAAATAACAAGACATTGTTACCAATTCGATGACGAATTAAATTTATGTAAACAGGAAATTTTAAGATTAATTGGGATGTATTATTAACTTTATATTTAGATATACATATACATTTTTGAAAACATTACAACGAATGTGTATTAATAATGATTTGATAATCCGCTGCTCGGCTCTAACAGATCGTAGCGTGATGTTTTATAGCCTCGATAAACGCTCGATAGATGCTTTATCTTTCTTCTTTTCTTAATAATTCTTAATAATTAAGAAAAGAAGTTTAATAATAATAATTCTTTTTGCGTTCTTTAGTACACTAAAGAACGCATAATTCTTTTTGCGTTCTTTAGTACACTAAAGAACGCAAAAAGAATTATTAAATACGAACCAGTAGTTTCGGAGGTTAGCGCGTTCAGACAAACAAACTCTACAGCTTTATAATATTATAGTATGCATAAAATAAATATGAAATAGAAAAACCTTTCCACTTTTTTTTTTGTTTTTTCCACTTACTTCATCATCAGCAAAATGCTTTTAATAAAAGCAGCTCTGGTCTCCGGCTTACTGGCCATGTTGGAATATCTTGGAGACCCCTCGTTCCATCCTCCGATTGCCAAGGTCACCTTCAAGTGTGGGTATTTGTTCTTCAAAGCCACCAGCCGCTTATAACCAGCCTTGCCGTAATCTGTTTCTAAATCTTGCCAGGGATCTGAAAGATGAGGTGGTTTTGTTAAGCAATTAAAAAAAAAGACTTTGCCCCACTCTAGGATTTTCTCCTGTGTCGTGGGTGCGTTTACAAACTTACAAATCCACGTGCACATCACACCCAGACCCGGAACAACAATTTGTGGATCACACAAAGAGTTGTTCCGTGCGGGAATCGAACCCGCGACACGTTGCACGGCCGCCGGTTGCCCAGCCACCGCGCCAACCGTGCAGTCAAATATACATATGCTATTTCTGGCTTTGCTGGTGTGTTACGACTAGTCCACGCTGGTGGCCATAATCGCTACTGTAAAGCCAGGGATCTTGGGGTACAGTCGCTCCAAGTGTTCATGGGACATTTAAGAGTTTAAGAAAATTTCTCAACAGAACGCCCAACACTGCTGCGTTGTTTTCGGTTTTTATTTACTATAACAGTTCTCGCGTTCTGCTTAGCTCCATTTGATCATAGCGTGGTGTTTTATAGCCTATAGCACTCAGGAATATTGTAGATATCTATTAGTGAAAGAATTTTGGCAATCCGACCAGTGGTTCCAAAGATTACCCTCTACATACAAACTTACAAATTTTACCTCTTTATAATATTATACATATAGTAATAGTAACATAGTAAATAGTAATATAGTATTATAGTATAGATAGTATAGATGAAGCAGAAATGTTCGCCTTATTGAATAGAATGGAGCGCATCAGCGGAGAACTGGGACTCTCGATAAACAGATCCAAAACGAAGATCATGGTTGTAGATCGCTCAGGCAAGCTTGAGCTCACTGGGACACTTGATCTGGAAGTAGTTGAAGCTTTATATACCTGGGCTCATGCATTAGCAACAATGGCTCTTGCGAATCAGAGATACGAAGAAGAATTGGGATGGCAAAAGGAGCCATGGCACAGCTTCAAAAAGTATGGAAGGACAAAAACATCTCGTTGAAAACAAAGAGCAATCTTGTGCGCACAGTGGTGTTCTCCATATTTTTGTATGGCGCAGAGACGTGGACCCTGAAGAAAACCGATCGTGACCGCATTGATGCCTTCGAGATGTGGTGTTGGCGAAAAATGCTAGGGATTCCTTGGACGGCACACCACACCAATGTATCGATCCTCCAGGAGCTTAAGATCCAGACAAAGCTCTCTTCCCTATGCCTCCGCAGGATTCTGGAGATTTTTGGACACACTGCCAGAAGGGGCAATGATAACTTGGAAAAGTTACTAATCACTGGTAAGGTGGAAGGATAGAGTCCTAGAGGCAGAAGTTCGATACGCTGGACGGATCAGATTCGCACCACTCTCAACACTACAGTCCACGATGCTCTCCACTCGGCGGCAGATAGAAATAGATTCTGACTGACTAATTCCTCCACCAAGCCTAATCCCACAACACGTTCGTAACTCCTTCCTTGCTCCTCTGTGCCATGGGCAGCGTGATTGCTTACCATCAGGTTATCCATAAGGTCGTTTGTCGTCCACATAAAAAATCTATGACAACGTGCATGCAATGTATGTAAGAGGTTAATGGCATTTGTATGAGTCGCGTGTACGCACATGCAATACATACAAATGTGTCGTGATGATTCTGCTTTCATTGTAATAATTTTGTAGCTTACTGATTAGTATTTAATAACTAAGTACCGTGTTGACTAAAACTTAACATTTTACAAGATGGTTGTCATGCAACGTGTCACAGCCGCTCAGTGCACGTCGATTCTATAAAATTTGTTTGATCTTGAATCTTGTTCGAGTATGAAGTGAGCGTCGAAGTGACGGGGAAATTACATTATAGAATGCCACTTTTAACGTCACCTCATACTTTATCTATCAAAATGTTGCTGTCAATTTAGTTCAACTCGCAAGTGTAGCGCTAGTGTACTACTACTCACAGCGGATTCAGATTCGAAGGTTAGAAGAGAAGAGAAGAGAGGTTAGAATGAAGTCTTACAGAATCACACTGCTCAGAAAAATATTTGTGTGATCTGCAAATAATATTTGTTTCGATTCTGGGTGTGTACATAAATGTAATTAAAATTTTATATATTAAACGCGATCATGACACCAAAGAAAAGCCTAATGTAGGGTAACTTAAAAAATACTTGTATTGTTAGGTAATTAGTTGTAGCCTTTATTTGGTGTATCTGGTAAATTAGTGGCTATTTTAAAGTAGTAATGTAACCCTACATTAATATGGGCCTCTAGCATGGCTTGAAACTAGTCGAGTATCTCGTCAAATTATTACGTGAGTAAGCCGATATTATAATAAATAATTTAGAATGTCTCACGAAAGTTATAATAAAAATTATAATGTTTACATTGTCATTATTTGACAGCTTTCGGAAATGTTGTAACCGCTACGCGTCGCCATTGTCGCGCACATAGTCAATACTAAAACAATAGAATGTATAAAACTTACCAAGACTCTTAATAGAATTAGAAGTCTCATTGAGACCGGCAAATGAGTAGACCAAATGTGTACACAGAGCTGGCTCCAAGTCTTCCAAGCTGAATCTGCCAGGGTCTGGCCGGTAGACCGCCCAGGTAGCTATGTAGCAGACCACCTTCTTGTCATGTTTTGGTCCTGGAATTGAGAAATATTAAAAAGATAAGATGGATCTACACTCGCTATATCGTGGGTCTAGATAAATAGGGTATGAACTCAATAAAATACAGTTTTTAGAAGAGCGATTTGAAGCGATTTTTAATCAATATATTATTCCATTTCCGTTAATAATTGGTTAACCTCACTTATATATTACTAGCTATTCTCGCGCGGTTTCACCCTATAACACTCAGGAACATTGCAACCAGTGAAAGAATTTTGGCAATCTGACCAGAGCGGTTCCACAGATTACCCCCTACATACAAACTTACAAATTTTACCTCTTTATAATATTAGTATAGATGTAAACGCATATATACGGGTATGTAAATTTTGCTATTTCTGAGAAAAATTAAAATCTACAGGCAACAACATGGGAATACCATTTTACACAAAAATATTTCTGAACCAAAGTAGTAAGTACAAAATGTCCAAACTAATATATTATAAACGCAAAAGTAACTCTGTCTGTCTGCCTGTCTTTTCTTCACGTCTAAACTACTAAAGCGATTTTTGTGAAATTTGGTACAGACATAGTTTGGAACTCGAGAAAGGACGTAGGATAGTTTTTATACCAAAAATTTGAACGGAGTCGCGGGCAAAAGCTTGTTATTTTCATAAAAATGCAATACTGAATATATTTTTGTGCCCTCACAAACAAAATAACCTCAAAATTACATTTCTACGTTGCGGGTGTAAGCGGAATAATATACCGCGGCCCGGCTAGAGAAGGAACAGGGTGATTTTTAGTCGATGTAAGAGTCTGACTCTCTCTCTCTCACCCCATCCAGGATGTGAGAAGAAGGCTTTTGATAATGTGGGTTTAGCTCAGAACAGGAGAATGAACTTTTGACGTTTCAAAAGTACCTTTTTTTTACGAGCAGACGGATTACCTGATTGTAATGATTTTGATTTGATTTGAATGGGGTGATTTTTAGTCGGTAAAAGTCTGACACTTTCTCTCTAGGGCAGAAGACATTCGATATTACCTCCCTCAAAACAAGACTTGTAATATGAACCATATTTATATGTAAAAATAAATAAACTCCAATACGAATATTTAGATTATAATGCATATGTTTAAAGACCTGACAAAAGGACACAGGTCAAGGCAAAGCGGTAACCGGTTTAGTATCAACAAATTTAATATTTATCTGCACGTGATAATCTCATAAGCTGCTAAACTGATTTTGATATGGTTTTTAGCTATAGATAAATATGAGAATACCTTAAAATCTAGTATTTCTTATTTTTATTTAAGTAACTATAACATGCTAAACTGTCAATATTTTTTATGTGTTAGGTCGGCAAACGAGCAGACGTATTACCTGATGGTAAGCAATCAGCGCCGTCCCACGCGCGACGCATTTGCAATGGGCGCCGCCCATGGGCACCCTCAACACCAAAGGAGTTACGAGTGCGTTGCCGGCCTTTTGGGGATAGGGGTTGCGGATATAAGGATTGGGAAAGGATAGGGGAAGGGGAGGGACTGGGCCTCCGGTAACCTCACTCACACGGTGAAACACAACGCTGTGGTTGTTTCACGCCGGTTTTCTGTGAGGCTGTGGTATCATTCCGGTCGAGCCGACCCATGGCTCTCTCACACTTAATTCAACTCATTGTAAATCGATTTTGCTACTATTTAATGAATGATATTATACACATAAACTTTCCTCTTCAATCACTCGTATCTATTGAAAAAATCCGCATCAAAATCCGTTGCCTAGTTTAAGATTTAAGCATACATAGGGACATAGGGATAGAAAAAGTGACTTTGTTTTATACTATATAGATAGTGATATATACTTCTCTCTCCTCCTTCTTTCTCTACATTAAAGTATAATACAAAAATTCACCGATCCAGTTAAGAATACATTAAAATAAAACCAGAATAACAGTTTTTTAAATTGTCATTTAATTGTGCTTAGTACAAGCGCATCTAAATGTTATTGTTTTGCGGTTAAATCGTTGTCGGTGACAGATTACACCTAACTGTTTTTTCTATGGTGAGTTGACAAAGTTTGGCCTAGATGTGCAATGGACTGGGATTAGTTTTTGTTTTATCTATATTAACATTATAAAAAGGTAAAAATTTTAAGTAGTGGGCGATCTTAAGAATCGCTAGTCGAATTGCCAAAACTACATTGTTTCGGAGTGCTATAGTTTCTAAATTCTATTTGTTTTTTGTATTTTAGTCGAGATATCGATTTAAACGCTGCTGTTATATAAAATCCCGAATACATTTATAATTTTATATGCGTGCAAAGGCGCGTTTTTTTTTGTCAGGGGAAAATCATCAAATTACTTCTCCCGCCCAGGGTTAGGCGAGAGAGAGTGTCAGACCCCAAAACCCCCCGTTCCTTCTCCTGTTCCGACTCATTGCGCTTAACCTGCAATCCCGGTTTAACATCAGCTCTATAGGGCCCCGTCTGTGGTGGTCCATTGGCTCTTTGAGGCACGCCGTACGCTCGTGTCTGGTTCTGGTCGGGCGGCAAACTACCCTTATACTCCGTAGACCCGCGCTTACGGTGGCCGGAGATCATCTCTCGGTGCAAAGGCACGTGCGGAATCTAGTGTATGATAAGGGGGCAAACGAGCAGACGAATTACCTAATGGTAAGCAATCGGCGCCGCCCATGGACACTCTCAATACCTAACTACAAATGCGTTACCGGCCTTCTGTGAGTAAAAAGCATTCTCATCATTATCAGCCTTCGGTTGCTGCCGACGCTGGGTGTCAAGCTCTGTGTGATCCGGGTCAGGAAATTGTTGTTCCGGGTCTGTGTGTGATGTGTGTGAGATTTTATGTTTGTAAACGCATCATGACGCAGGAGAAAATCCATCCCAGAAATTTTAAAATGTCTATAAATTGCCATTTGTCATCAGCCGCAGGACGACATCTTTTTTTTGTCAAGGGAAAATCATCAAATGTCTTCTCCCGCCCAGAGTAAGGCGAGACAAAGTGTCAGTCTCTTACTGACTCAAAAGCCCCTCCCCGTTCCTTCTCCGGCTTTAGGCCGTGACCGCCGTGCCTCATTTCTGGAGGCTTTATAGGCCTCCGTCTATGGTGGTCTATTGGTTTTAAGAGACGCGCGCGGAACGCGACGCGAACTGGTCGAGCTTGCTCGATGCTTACGGTGGCCGGAGATCATCTCTCGGTCCCCGACGCCCGGAATGTCGCCTACTGTGGCGGCTGGGGCATGAGGAGGATAGTTCCCTCACGCGCTCCGCCTCCTACTTTGCGAGCGTCACTGATGAACGACCTCTGAGGTGCACAAATAAAATGACTTACTATCCTTCTTTGGATGTATAATAAATTGGATGTAATATTCTTATATGCTGTCTGACCAATTTCAAACTGACTCATATTCCGGAAAGCATTTGTTTATTTGTATTTTGAAAATGTCTGGTTTTGGGACTCACAACTTTAGGTGTGCCCTCGACTTTTATTGCAATGTTTCCTGTACGTTTAAATGTCAACTTTAGGACTTTAGAAATAAGGAATAAAATTATGTACAGCTTGGTATCGCAGGTAAAGGCTTAATTACGTTTTATCTTCATACAAAGTTGGCCCTTGTCCTTGATAATATTGGTCCAGTCAAACGACGGAGTAGGGATTAGGGAGTGATGAGGTTCTGGATTCCAGTTCCCCAGTCGCGAAAGAAATATATTATTTTTAATTTATAAAATACTAGCTAGCCCGCAAGTCCGTTTGCATGGAATAGTGATTTCCTGCAGATTTTTGGTTTAAAAACTAACCTATGTCCTTTCTTGAATTCCAAACTATGTCTGTAGGTCTGTACCAAATTTCACATAAATCGGTTCAGTCGTTTAGGCGTAAAGAAAAGATAGACAGACAGACAATTACTTTCGCATTTATAACATTAGTTTGGATTTTTTTTATCAAAAAAAATTAAAATGTAAAAAATTTACAAATAGGTATGTTACAAGTAGATAGTTTTGTAAAGCCGTGGTATCACTAGAGGCCGGAACATGGCTCTCCCACACTTAAAAAAAATAATTATTGTTTTTTTTTTAATACGCATGTATTTTATATTATCTTATTGTACTGCGTACCTATTTTCGAAATAAAAAGGTAGATACCTACGTTAATATGACATGTTTAGCGTATATACGATGGTACTACACGATTTTCTCGAAACAGCAAAACATCTCAATTCTGTGCCTCGTTGTATCGCACTAGCTCGGTAATACTACTCGCGCAAGAAACTTTCTCTGCATACTTAGGTATTAGCAAGCATTACCAACTCGGCTCGTTATTTCTATTACAGCATTTGTCAATACGTGTTATATTTGTATTTTCGTAACTAAATTATAATCTTTATGTTTAACGTTACTACAGTATAAAACAATTGCTTTTTCTGTCCCTATATGTAAGCTTAAATCTCCAAAATTACGCAACGCATTTTAATCCGGTTTTTTTAATAGATAGAGAGGTTGAAGAGGAAGGTTTATATGTATAATAACATCCTTTAAATGGTGAAGGATTCTTGTTAGGCGGGTCGCTAGTCTATATCTAACTAATATTATAAACAGGTAAAATTTGTATGTTTGTAAGTTTGTATGTATGGGGTAATCTTGGGAACCGCTGATCGGATTGCCAAAATTCTTTCACTGATAGATAGCTACAGTGTTCCTGAGTGCTATAGGCTATAAAATATCACGCTACGATCAAATGGAGCCGAGCAGCGGGTGAAACTACACGAGAGTAGCTAGTATTAAATAAATTTTTAATCTTCCTTATGTTACTTTATTACTTTTGATATAACTAAACTAAACACGATTTCAAGTCATCATTCGTCCAGTTACAAAGTGTTTTTGTTTGAAATAAAACTGTTTCTACAAATAATATTATAAACTTCCTTATGGTGAATGAGTAATGTTGAGTCACTATAAATTCGTGGATTTAACTATTAAGTATACCTTGTAAACAAAAACGTTTTTGTGCTTAGAAGTTTTTGAATGAACTAGAAGGAAAGTGTACGCAAAATTATTTACAAAAGTAATAGTCTCATCCTCATCCTTCAGACGAAAGAATCATTTCTTATCTTCAGCTATCTACAGTCAGGGGTCAAAAATGCAATTACCTACAAACCAATTTTAAAATGACTAAAATTTCTTTGTAGTAAAAGTTCAATGGTTCACAGCCAGTTTATTCAATAATTTAGATTCTATGCTATAAATTAAAGTAGTCCTCAACCATTGACTCTATTCTACAAAGATATTTTGATCATTTTAAAATTGGTAGAGTGTAATTGCATTTTTGACCCCTGACTGTACATATCTATAGAAGAATAAGCTGTAAGCTGACAGAAGTATAAAATAAGTTTACGGGTCGCTAAGTTGAACATCAGGTCAGCAACCTGCATCTTAAGTGCAGACGGACTAGGTAATTTGTTTTGCCTGTATTAAAAGGTAAAAAGGTTTCTTAGAAATCTTACGTTATGTAAAATTTTCGTACACCTTACTCCTACGAAATGGATTTTTACCAAATTTTATATGCATATTCAGTAGGTTTGAGAATTGGGTAGTTTCCTAGGTCAAAAATAAATTATTTCGACGTCTCAATACAATAAAACATTGAAAAATAACTACACTTTTATTCATCAATCGATCGATACACTAATTTTTAGTTTTTTTTTGCTAATTATTAAGAAATAAGTAAGCTATTTGACGAAAAAAAAGTTATGTCGTCATAGCTCAGTTTTTCATACAAATTTCATAGAAAAGTATCGTTTTTGACGTTTGGATAAAAGTATTGAATTTGACTAGTTGGAAACTACCGTATTGGTGCTGGCGAGGCTACTGGCTTTTTTCACCCTTAACAGTTATTTATTTTATATTTTATAATACCTATATTTGGATTGCATATTGATATTCAATGATTAATATATTGTAATGTATAGGTGTGCCCTTAAATTAAAATAAACACCTAATTGGCTAAATTTCAGATTTTACTGGGATAGGAGAATGAAATTAATATACAGGAGTAAGTAAGATTTTATATGCGTAGGTATAACATTTTATCCTTAGTATGGTCCAAATTAATTAACTTTTTTTATTATTTATACTTCGCTGATTTTCGTTTTAGTCTTACTTCAATATAAAACGGACGTATTCCCTAACATTAAACAAAGCTTTATTAACCACTAGCTAATAGTCAATTCTAGAGCTAAAATTCAACTCTTAATCATCCTTATTCACAATACATTTGTCGTTGTTTAGAGCGATGTTAGCAACTTTATCCTCCTTGGTACAAGCCGAATGCGGTCAGGCGAAACGACTGCACTGACTGAGGTCATTGTCCCAGCCTTTCTACAGAATGGATCAGCTCTTATTGTTTTGAAGAAAATCCTACGTAATGACAATGCTTCACTTAGAAATATCGCATTGTATTTGAAATACTGCTTAGTTTATTAAAATCACGCAACTACTGAGCAAGATTTTCGTTTCGTTTTTCGTTCGATTCTTAAATGTAACAATACAGATTTTTTCTTATAGTTGTATTACACTTTTTATGTAATCAGGTTTTTATATTTATATTAGAATTTATATTAATTTAATATATGCATAAATTAGTTCGTAATAGTTTTAATGTTGTTTATTAATGACTACCTGTTTTGCACAGTTTTGCCCACGTTCCGAAGGAAGTACTTCCGTAAAGTAGTAAGGGAGACAAAATTATTTTGCTTATAGATAGCAAAATAATGTTGGAAATTCGACCGGATCGAAAGATTACCCCGTACATACATACAAACTAACAAATTTTACCTCTGCATAATATTAGTATAGAAAACAAAAAGTGCAAGTTTACCTACCCGCCTTGAAACCCAAGTATTTTTTACCATCTCCATATCATCTATATATCGTCCACATTATTGAAACGCAAAAAGACATTTACTGCTCAAAATGGCCTACGTTTCCCACCCAATGACTTCCAAAAGCTTTAAGACTAATTTTCAGACAAATCATAGGAAAACCAACCCTTACGCTCAGATCATTATAAACAAAATCACGTACACAACGTCCAATACATTTCCAAGTTAATGAACATCGATTGCAAACCTCTGTCCAAATTCTCTACTCTAACCTTGAACGACGGTTTCGTGCCTGACTGACCCTCTGTCTGTATAAACCTCCATGTGCTGCTTACTAAGTAGATATATTTATATTGCTAATGTTATAGGTATGTAAGGTATCTGTTTTATAGGGTCTACTATGGAGCAATAGTTCTTTTTAGGAATAGGAGGCAAACGAGGCTCAGCTTTTGAGTTTAGATGTGAAATTGTGCTTACTATTGATCCTCAAATATATAGATAGAGCCTCAAAGAGCGAATTTTTGACCATAAATGGGTCCAAAAGGGCTGATATGAAGCCAGCGTTGCGTGGCAAAGAGCAATATGGTACCACGTGCACGGGGGAGTTTTTAGTCAGTAAGATTCAGAAGTGTTTAGCACAGATGGGATGGGCCCTACTGGGCCGATATACCGACAGGTCAAGTGTAATAGGCTGCCACTGTCTTGGCCTGGAGCAGGAAAAGAAACAGGGGGATTTAAACTCAGTAAGAGACTGGCATTCCCTTTCGCCTCACCCTGGGCGAGAGTACCTAGACATCTGATGATTTCCTCTCACAAAAAAGAAAAAGCTAGATTAAAGAATATATAATTACAAGGTTGTCCATAATTCTAATCTCAGCAGACGAATTGTAGACCGCAGTTTAAAAAACCATACTATCCTATCTCTATCAAATGTGGAACTCCTCAAACTGCTCTCACGACACGATCAAAGGAAGAGTAGAAAAGTTAAAACTACACTCTTATCTGCCTTATTTGCTAATGAAATGATTTAGAATATGTAATTGAAGAGCGGTTAGGTAAAGACTTCATTTGCCATGAGAATTAAACCGTGTGAAAAGTCTTCAATAGTCGTATTTGTTACAACTAGACTAATAGGTCAGTTACTCCTATAGTTATTTTATATAAAATGCATAAATACCATCTCGTTTCCAAGTGTGGGCAAAGCTTCGGTACGAATAGGTCGGCTCGAGCGGAGTGATGCTACAGCCTCACAGAAAACCGGCGTGAAACAACCACAGCGTTGTGTTTCACGCCGGTTTTCCGGCCCAATCTCTCCCCCTCCTCCTCCCCTTTCGAATTCCCTCCTCCATTCCCCTTTAATATCCGAAACCCTTATCCCTAAAAGGCTAGCAACGCTCTCGCAACTCATTTGGTGTTGCGGGTGTCCATGACCGTCTACTCGTTTGCCGACATATGTATATCATAAAAAACGAGTCAAAACAAGTAAATTTGAAATCCTGTTTATCCTGCTCACTACGACTGGTAAATCTGGACTCCACCGATCTCAAAGTACCTACCCACAAAATTGGTGAAAACGAACTATATTTGACTAAAACTCTATAAGTATCTCAAAAATCGATTTCAATACAAAGATATTGGATTGAAATTGGTTTAAAATTTCAGCTGTAGGTACGAGTTTTAAAATTATGATGATATTCAGTTTTATACCTATTGAACTAGAGGCCGCTCCGGCTTTGCACGAATGCAATGATAATATCCTAGTTTTCTCTACAATTTAATGTAAGTCATTACATATAAACCTTCCTGTTTAATCACTCTATCTATTAAAAATAACCGCATCGAAATCCGTTTCATAGTTTTCGAGATTCAAGCAGATATTGTGACAGAAAAAGCGACTATGCCTTTGACTTTGCAATGATAAAATAAAACAAACTTGACGAACAACATTCAGGGTTTCACCTCAAATAATAAATTCAAGGTTTCTTTAAATTCTTTACGTAACATAATGTTATTAGCTGTCGAATATAATTATAATGAGATAATAAATCGTATTTTAAAAGTATCGTAAATCGTAGTCATATCAATGTTTTTATTACAATAAAAGATCAGGGGGCCATTCCACATTGTAAACGGCCTGTTATTATTTTTAGTCTATGACCAATTTGCAATTGAGCATAAAAAATAAGGTCAAGTCCTTTCATGCCATTTAGCATAAATCTTAACATCAGGGAATGAGGGGTCCCAGACAAAAGCTTCTTAGCATTCCCGTTCAAGGTCTCCTCATATTTATAAATCATACCTACCCAGTCTAATTTTGACAAAAGAATCTAGTATTTAAAATTATTCTAACAATCAAAACACGTACTGAAAATACACTGCTTGAATCGGAAATTGTACTTACAACCATCACATAACGAACTAAGCTCTTCAGTAAAAAAATTACATAAGTCTAAACAATAAAAAAACATAGGCAAGTTACTATACTATACCGTTTTTACTGTACCATATTACCCGTCTAAACGGAGCATAAAATTCCGGGAAAACATTGAGAGAAAAAACCTACTTTCGCGTCGTAGACGTTGACACGTAGGTAAATAAAAATATTTCTTTAAAACGTTAAAATATCAATTAAAACCTACAGCAAAGGTTATAACAATTACAATAGTTACTGTTACCGGATTATTTTCGCCGTGAATGGCATTAAAAACAGCAATATGGCGACTAAAAAACAAGTTTATCAAATTTAAAAATCACCTTTCACTTCTTCGACCAAGGTTTGTCCGTGTACAGACGCGGCGACACCAACGAAGAATATTAAACACAACACATTCATTTTTAAATAACTTAAAAACACTTTATAATCACAGAAAAAGTTACATTTAATTATCAAAAGTTTTATTCCGAGCTATAGACAAAAGTTTTGTTCAGTTTTATATTTTTTAAATTTAAAATGTCAGTGCGATGGCGCGACGCTTGCGCGCTCGCGGTTAATAGCGAGTGGGGCTTTGGTGTTGCCATGGTTTCGTAATCAAAGTCCTATTAAGAAATAATAATTATGTAGGTACATATAATTATAATCACTAATACTTTTTTAATCATTGGCTACCTAATAAATATTATTATTTATTCACGTAAGTCTTTTAAAGCACACTGTATACGATGGTACAGATGCATAATATACATCTTTATTTAATAATTATATTACATTTATTGAATGTTTTCGTCATTTCAACCACTTAATATGATGACTTCTTTGTAATAGGGTGTAAACCTATTGTCCTCTGAATAAACCACAAAAAAATCTTTACGCAGCCCAAGAACCGAGTTTGAGATCATTTCTCGGACAACGCGTCGTAACATTCTAAAGCTATCAATAACTTTTTTACCGTGCCATAGAATTAATCAGCATTATCAACATTATCAGCGTATAAGTCTGTAATATCTGTTGAGCAAATAAATACTTATTTTTACATGGAGAAAAGCAAACATAACGCTTGCTCAAGGTGGATCGTCGATTTCAAATTTGTAATAATAACAATTTATAGGTCTTGGGTTTCATTGCGATATTTTCCAAATCGTATACTTTATGTTTTATTCTTACAAAATTAATAAATTACCACATTTACGGTAAAATATTTTGAGCTAGCAACCCAGTTGTAAGCCAGTCTGTCACGTCGGGTAAACGCCAGTTTTTAAATGATATTCAAAATTGAACTTTATTTCGTTCACCTAAGTTTCAATTTCAATTGTCGTTGTTTACTTTACATTCAAGTTGCCACAATACAGGTATTTATGACGTAGTACAATTACGAAATTCTATAGCAATTACGTACAAGTAATAATTATTATGTTATCTAAATATGTAATTGAGTAATTAAAATGACTTCTTAACTAGTTAAGTGATTAAAAACGGCAACAATCATTAATGATATGGTGGATTTAATTCTCAGATGTGGACAAATTATCATTATCTACATTATTTTTTATTTTTAAATTTAAAAGCCTAGATTTTGAATTAAATATCTTTTTATACTGTCTAAATCGATAAAATAAAAGATTATTTGGTCCAAATAGCTCATAATCGCTGCAGTATTGAAAAAGTCTATATACTTATTTGAACTAAAGAAGATTTTATCAAGAAATACTCCGGAAACATCAAATAAAATGCAACAATAATCTCGCTGTAAGCACTGGTACTTCTGCCTGTATCCACGTGACGCAAACAATCTTGACCGTTACATCCACAGACTATAAAACTCGTCGGCGCGGGAAACACGGTCGAATGACAATTTTCAAATTCTTTTTTTGTAATCTTAAATTTAAAGAAATAATCTTCCACAAGTAGGTACATTATTACGTGCCTAACCACTTCTTTTTATAGGAGGAAGAATCATCGAATGACTTTATCTGCCCAGGGAATGGCGAAAGGGACTCTCAGACTCTTACTGACTAAATTCCCCCTGTTCCTTTTCCTGCTAAAGGCCAAGGCCGCGGTACCTGATTGCGCTTGACATGGCCCCGGCCATCAGCACTGTATTGGGCGTTATTTGTGGTGGTCCATTGGCTCTTTGCGGCTCTATACATATATTGGCTCGTAGAAAAAACCTAAAACTAAGGACTAGGTACCTACACAACACATTAGACAGATAAGTACCGGGCCACAGCGCTCTCTGATAACCAGAACCATTTAAACTGCGATCTGCATATACAAAGCATAGAGTTGAACACAAACCAGAGGCCAATGATATTAAAAAATAAAAAAGGTTTTGATAGGGTCATAAGCGTTCAGCAAGTGATACACTAAAATGTGGCAAACTAGCCACACTTTTTCATACTTATTTGTCTCTTTTTCACTCGCGACTATTGAATCATGCCATCCCACTTTGACGTCTAATCATACGAATTGTACCTACATGTGTGCATCAGTGTGCCGTTTTTGAAAATCTAATGTTGTTTATGTAACCTATCTACTCTACTCTACTCTGCAATGGCCAGAGGCCCAATATTTTAATAAAATCGAAAGGAAACTTGGACTTATAATTTTTAATTATGAGGTTGAAATCACCAATCCGTCTTGAGCAAGCGTGGTGATTGGGTAATCTTCGAAACTGAGAGTGCGAAAAGGCCTTTAGTCAGCAGTGGGCACTTATAGGCTGATGATGAATGAAATTAATATTAAAAAAATAAAGATAAGAATAATCTGAGGACTACAATAGGAGAAAATATTCGCTATGACGTATTTTGCAAACTGTACATTCCTTTTAAGAGTAGGTAATGGAATTTAATATCAAGGACTATAATATTAAATTCTAAATTCCAATACGATATCGATTTTCATCAGGCATCACTAGCGGCCCGTGCCGGCTTCGCACGGCTGCAAGGCTGATACTTTTCCCCACTATTTTTACATTAATCAATGTTATACATAAAAACCTTAATCTTCAATCACTCCATATTTTCAATGAATTAGTATCAAAATCAGTAGGATGCGTAGTGTTAAAGTTTTAAGGATAGGTACATCTTACGAAAATATTATAAATGCGAAAGTTATGATGTGTGGATGTTTGTTACTCAGTCTCGCCAAAACCGCAAGACGGATCTGGATGAAATTTGGCACAGGCATAGGATACACTCCGGAATAGGACATAGGCTACTTTTTATCAACATACCACGCAGGCGAGCGGAAGCTATTAAGGATATAGGGACAGAAAAAACTATTTCTTGTAAGTACTACGTAATTATGTAGTGTTATTACCAATTTATCTGACTCTATACAGTTGCTGGAGGGCACATGATCCCCGACCGATGCCCGAAGTGTCTTCTACTGCGGCGGTAGGGTTGAGAGGAGGATAACTCCCTTACCATTTCTTCCTTCACGGCTTCCCAGTTCCTTTCGCTATGCACCATGGCCTCGACTAAGGCCGGACACTTCCACCGTATACTCCACTTTGGAAATGAAACAGCTGCCTGTCACAATAAGGTAGTTTCCAACAAGGCAAATTCAATACTTTTATCCAAATATCAAAAACTATACTTTTCCATGAAATGTATATGCAATACTGAGTTATGGCGTTATAGTATTTCTACGTCAAGCCCTCTTATTTCTTAAAAATTTGCTAAAAAATATCTAAAACTTAGTTTATCGATCGATCGATGAATGAAGGTATAGTTATTTTTCAATAAATTATTGTATTGAAACATCGATTTAATTTATTTTTGACCTAGGAAACTACCCAATTACTTATATTAATAACAATGCAAGCAAGCATGTAAAATTCATTTAGAAGTTGCATACAAAAGCTGTAAAAATTACCATTAGCAAAAAAATACAAAATGAAATTTATTAAACTAATAGCTACGCAAAAATAAAAAATAAATTACAGTTGCTATGGAAACTAAGACGTTATTACTGTCCAAGAATACATTTAAATCCTTGCAAATTAAAAACAAGTTGTATATGATGGCCTGATCCTGGCCGGAGGGTGGATTGTCCATAATAATAATCAAAGATCAAGACATCAGAAAACCATATTGCTGTCTCTATTTTTGCCACATGGATTCACTCACACACCTTCACCTCACGGTTTTCCGGCAGACGGATTACCTGATGGTAAGCAATCGGCGCCGGCCATGGACAACGCCGGCCTTTTGTTAAGGGTTTCGGAGATTTAGGGATTAGGGAAGGGGAAGAAGTATTGGGGCTCAAGTAACATCACTCACACGGCGAAACCAAACGTTGTAGTTATTTCACGTCGGTTTTCTGTAAGGCCGTGATGTCACTCCGGTCGAGCAGACTCGTGCCGCAATAAGCGTTCTTACACTAACTTATGTAGTGCAGAGATTGTCCAGTCAACTGATGGTAGCGTAGACTGTCCAGGCGACACACGTACTTAGGTATCGTCATGAGCTAATGTTCACATGTAAACAGCAGCTCATGTAGTGCAGAGATTGTCCAGTCAACTGATGGTAGCGTAGACTGTCCAGGCGACACACGTACTTAGGTATCGTCATGAGCTAATGTTCGCATGTAATCAGCAGCTCATGTAGTGCAGAGATTGTCCAGTCAACTGATGGTAGCGTAGACTGTCCAGGCGACACACGGACTTAGGTATCGTCATGAGCTAATGTTCACATGTAAACAGCAACTCATGTAGAGCAGAGATTGTCCAGTCAACTGATGGTAGTGTAGACTGTCCAGGCGACACACGAACTTAGGTATCGTCATGAGCTAATGTTCACATGTAAACAGCAGCTCATGTAGTGCAGAGATTGTCCAGTCAACTGATGGTAGCGTAGACTATCCAGGCGACACACGTACTTAGGTATCGTCATGAACTAATGTTCACATGTAAACAGCAGCTCATGTAGTGCAGAGATTGTCCAGTCAACTGATGGTAGTGTAGACTATCCAGGCGACACACGTACTTAGGTATCGTCATGAGCTAATGATCTCATGTAAACAGCAACTCATGTAGAGCAGAGATTGTCCAGTCAACTGATGGTAGCGTGGACTGTCCAGGCGACACACGTACTTAAGTATCGTCATGAGCTAATGTTCACATGTAAACAGCAGCTCTTGTAGAGCAGAGATTGTCCAGTCAACTGATGGTAGCGTAGACTGTCCTGGCGACACACGTACTTAGGTATCGTCATGAGCTAATGTTCACATGTAAACAGCAGCTCATGTAGTGCAGAGATTGTCCAGTCAACTGATGGTAGCGTAGACTGTCCAGGCGACACACGTACTTAGGTATCGTCATGAGCTAATGTTCACATGTAAACAGCAGCTCATGTAGTGCAGAGATTGTCCAGTCAACTGATGGTAGCGTAGACTGTCCTGGCGACACACGTACTTAGGTATCGTCATGAACTAATGTTCACATGTAAACAGCAGCTCATGTAGTGCAGAGATTGTCCAGTCAACTGATGGTAGCGTAGACTGTCCTGGCGACACACGTACTTAGGTATCGTCATGAGCTAATGTTCACATGTAAACAGCAGCTCATGTAGTGCAGAGATTGTCCAGTCAACTGATGGTAGCGTAGACTGTCCAGGCGACACACGTACTTAGGTATCGTCATGAGCTAATGTTCACATGTAAACAGCAGCTCATGTAGTGCAGAGATTGTCCAGTCAACTGATGGTAGCGTAGACTGTCCTGGCGACACACGTACTTAGGTATCGTCATGAGCTAATGTTCACATGTAAACAGCAGCTCATGTAGTGCAGAGATTGTCCAGTCAACTGATGGTAGCGTAGACTGTCCTGGCGACACACGTACTTAGGTATCGTCATGAACTAATGTTCACATGTAAACAGCAGCTCATGTAGTGCAGAGATTGTCCAGTCAACTGATGGTAGCGTAGACTGTCCTGGCGACACACGTACTTAGGTATCGTCATGAGCTAATGTTCACATGTAAACAGCAGCTCATGTAGTGCAGAGATTGTCCAGTCAACTGATGGTAGCGTAGACTGTCCATGCGACACACATACTTAGGTATCGTCATGAGCTAATGTTCACATGTAAACAGCAGCTCAGGTACTACATTTATTAGGTAAACTCATCTTAATACATCGTCTCTTAGGTCTATTTAATCTTAATTTGTAAGGACAATAACCAGTATAGACTGATCTAACGTAGCCCTTATTTTGCTTTCATAAACAGCTCCTATTATATTGGTTTATTTGTGTGCGAAAAGGGACCCACGCGTCAACGATTGTCTTTTATATTTTTTTATATTAAGGTGAATTCTTAATTTGTTTGGGTAGGCAGTGTAATTAAAAATGTATTTCTTTGTATTGAGTCTAATATTGAGCGTTCGAAAATTAATGAAAAAACATCCTTTTGTTCTGTAGAAATTAGATACCTAGTGGTTTTCAATTGATATATTCGAAGCAGAAATTTATACGCCATATCGGATCGGATCGGATAAGCATTTATAGGCAATGAGGAGGCAGATTAGGCCTTCGATAACCTCACTCACAAGGCGAAAAACAACGCTGTGGTTGTTTCACGCCGGTCTTCTCTCAGACCATGATATCACTCCGGTCGAGCTGAAGCTTGACCCTTCCACATTTAAATTTATTTAAAATCAATAAAATTCTTGCAAGCATTTATCAGAAGCTTAAGCTAACAGATATTGTCGCTATATATAAACCGTGGGTAAATTAAGATGGAGAGCTGTGTCAGTCCAAGATCTGTGTGGCTTATCCTTATTGCTTTGGCTAAATAAAGTGCGTAGTACATAAAAAGCTTTATCTTAATAAGCGTGGATTTTGTGTCTTTTGAATTTGGAATGATTATACTTTGAGCTAGTTCGATTGGAGTGATACCACGGCCTCACAGGATCGCCGAGCAAACAGCGCGTTGCATTCAAAGAACCAAGTCTAATATGAATAATATGTGGTTCGAATCCCACTTCTGACACCGTTTAATAGGATCAAATGACATCATCAAATCATCAAATGACTTCTCCCGCCGGGTTAGGCGAGAGAGAGTCAGACTCTTATTGACTAAAAACCCCCCGTTCCTTCTCCTGCTCTGAGCCGAGGCCGCGGTGACTCATTGCGCCCGCAACCCGGCTGAACATCAGCCCTATAGGGCCCCGTCTGTGGTGGTCCATTGGCTCTTTGAGGCGTCTGGTTCTTTTCGGGCGGCGAGCTACCCTTACTCGCCGTCGGCAGACCCGCGAGGAATAAAAGACTTAGATCTAGGTAACCTGACTTTAATATCACAGTACACAGTCGGACAGCTCACTGCACCAGAGTTATATTGTCAATTCAATCACCTTTCTGATTATTAGTTGATAAAAATCAGCCTTTTTTAGTCCAGGTTATCACCTGTCTACAACAAATTTAAACCAAATGGGTCGAGCCGTTTTTGCTTGTAAGAATTACAAATATACATCCATATATTCTCAAAAACTTTCACATTTATTTTTAGTAGGATTTTCGCAAACAATTACGCTTAAATGATTTAGCCAAAATATGTTGACAGCCCACATGTGACGATTAAACATAATATGTTACATGATATAATATATGTTTCACGCTAAATGATAGCTTGATGCTATAATTTATAGCGTCGCATCGCCCACGCTGTGTGTCGACAACTTTATTTGCAAGAATGAATCAAATGTGCTAAGCGTGAACTGTAACAGATATTGTTAGGTTCCGTATTTCAGCTAGGGTAGGGTCAAGCGCAATATGGTATTGAGGGCCTAGAATGACGTGTTGAAGCGTCAATCTTCCGAGCGAAAAAGAGGGATGGAGCTATACACTTTTTAAAGCTCCATCTTAAGTGTGGGAGAGCCAAGCTTCGCCACGAATGGGTCGGCTCGACCGGAGTGATACCATGGCCTCACAGAATACCGGCGTGAAACAACCACAGCGTTGTGTTTCGCCGTGTGAGTGAGGTTGCCGGAGGCCCAATCCCGCCCCTTCCCCTATACCTTCCCGATCCTTACATCCGCAACCTCTAACCCCAAAAGGCCGGCAACGCAATCGTCACTCCTTTGGTGTTGCGGGTGTCCATGGGCGGCGTCGATTGCCTACCATCAAGTAATCCGTCAGATCGTTTGCCGACTTATCCCATAAAAAAACCCTCTTTCTCGCCCGGAAGATTAACGCCTAGGCCTACTGTAGTCTCGGTGTGAAGCAGGAAAAGGAACCGGTGGTTTTAAGTCAGTAAGAGTCTGACACTTCTTCTGGCCTTACCTTGGGCGAGAGAAGTGATTTGATGATTTTCCCATACAAAAAAGGTTCCGTATTTCAATAGTTTTTTACTACTTATCTAGGATCTGTTAATGATTTTTATGATTCACTTTGATTATGGAAATTATAACAATCAAAAATATTGTTTTTTTATGGTATACATCGGCAAGCGACCCGACGGTTTGCCTGAAGGTAAGCAATCCATCCATCATGCCGGCCGTAAGGAATAAGGATTTCGGATATTTCAGAATTGGGAAGTAATGAGGGGGTTAACCCGGCTCACCTACACTTCATACTAAAGCAGAGCTGCAATACCAACCTTTTCAATGGTAAACTTGTTTAATAAATATTAGGTATAAGAATATCCAATGTAAGTTTAATACAGTATACTACTTGCCTATTTTTCACAATGGTTTTCCTATCCAACCAAAGGAACTCTAACAATAATGTACGCACGACTAGAGGTGTTGAGATTTCAGTCGTGTTCCGTATCGCTTGCCGGGACCATCTATCGTCCAGTTATACAAACAGATTATTATAATATACAGTTTTGATTTCATAAGTGTTATATGTTTCATGATAGTGATTTCAGTGAGCTATTGATTGAAAAAAGGTGAGTTATATTGTAGGTTTTATTAAAAAAAATAAGTTTTATTTTTGCAATAAATTATTTATGGGTATTTTAAATATAAATTATACATTGCTTAAGTAATCCTCAAAGTTTTCTCGGAAGTAAGCTCACATAATATATTATTATGTATTACTTTTTTAAATTGTCTAGACTTTGACTGTCTGGAAGAGACATACCATTGAGTTTGTTTCGGCATTTCTTCTCAGAGTAGTCAGATAGGAAATGCCGGCTTCATCTAGTTTTCCATAATTATATAATTTTGACATTTAAAAGTGCTGTTTTATAGTTAATTTGGAAACATAAATTCATTGTTTCAGAGAAAAGTCATACAGCATAGCATTTGTAGTTATGTAAACTGAACGACGTGTATTCACAATTTTAGGCCATTCCGTTGAAAATATCTACTTTATTAAATTTTCTTTTCTTTTTAAAGTTTGTGTCACACCCTAAATCACCTGAAATCTGTACTACTTATAAAAAACGAGATTATAATTCTGATTGTGAAATAAGGCATTTCTATGCTACAGCAGAAGGTGGAACGCAGTGATTTTTAGTCAGTAAAAAGTCAGAAATCTCTCTCACTCTACCCAGGGCGGGACAGCGCATTCGATCATTTCCCCACAAAATATGCATTTATATCAAAACAATATACACAGACACATAGGTGATCCTACAGAGAACTAAAGTTATCGACATAGCCCAAAGGATTAGCAAACTGAAGTGGCAGTGGGCAGGTCACATCTGTCGAAGAACCGATGACCGTTGGGGTAAACTTGTTCTAGAGTGGAGACCACGTCTAGGCAAACGTAGTGTAGGGCGCCCTCCAGCTAGGTGGATTGACGACATCCGCAGGGTAGCTGGCCGTGGATGAGAAGAGCTGAACATCGAGCTCACTGGCGTGCAATTGGGAAGGCCTATGTCCAGCAGTGGACATCAGACTGATGATGATGATGATACATAGACACAAATCAAAACTAGTTATTTGACAATTATTTTTTTATACAATAAAACGAGCATACATTGGGGTACCTAAGTGTGGGAGAGCCATGCTTCGGCACGAATGGGTCGGCTCGACCGGAGTGATACCACGGCCTCACAGAAAACCGGCGTGAAACAACCACAGCGTTGTGTTTCGCCGTGTGAGTGAGGTTACTGGAGGCCCAATCCTTCCCCTCCCCCAATCCCTCCTCAATCCCTAAATCTCCAAATCCTTAATCCCTAAATAGTCGGCAACGCACTCGTAACTCCTCCCATGGGCGGCGTTGATTGCTTACCATCAGGTAATCCGAATCATCAAATGGCTTCTCCCGCCCAGGGCCGGGTGGGAGGGAGTGTCAGACTCTTACTGACTAAAGACCCCCCTGTTCCTTCTCCTGTTCTGGGCCGAGGTCGCGGTGCCTCATTGCGCTTACCCCGCAACCCCGGCTGAACATCAGCCCTATAAGGGCCCCTCTGTGGTGGTCTATTGGCTCTTTGAGGCGCGCGCGGAACGCTACGCGCCGTAAGTTCGGGTCTGGTTCTGGTCGGGCGGCGAGCTGCCCTTACTCGCTTGTAATGTTGGCAAGCAAATAACTCAACAACGCCTGGAACAATTTTGCTAATTCCTTTTTTTGTTGTATTTATTATTGTCAGGAGAAGGTTCTTATCAAAAAAAATATTAAAAAATTGATTCTTCTGTTGATAAAGAGATAGATGGACCCGAGCAAAGCGGGGGCGGGCCGCTAATTATACATATACATATAAACCCACCTCTTCAATCACTCTATCTATTAAAAATAGTTAGTTAGTAGCAGTTTTAAATATTTAAACATACAAAAGGACAGAGAAAGCGACTTTGTTATATACGACGTAATGATAGATAAAAAAGCTAAAATCACACTTTCCACTTTTTTCAATGTAATACCTGAAACTCGCTAGTTATGAAAGCCTTCCTATCTTATCACCTGAAGGGTACTCCAGGTTTCAGTAATCTCATTCCGATATCAAAAACACTTTATTTCGCGCTGATTACGGTATTATTTTAGAAGAGTACCGGTCCGATTAAAAGGGTCGATGTTATATTTTTTCGTTTATCGTTTTATCAGCCGACGAATGGTTGAGTGGTTTCGTTTGATTTAGGAATTCCCTATCACTTCCCAGTAGTTGAATAGATTTGGATTATGATTAAAATTTGTCCTCGTAATACTTAATCCAAATCCAAACTAATATTGTAAATGTGAAAGTAACTCTGTCTGTCTGTTTGTCTTTTCTTCACGCTTAAACTACTGAACCGATTTCTTTGAAATATACAGACATGTCTGAAACTCGAGAAAAGGACATAGAATAGCTTTCCTACCAAAAATCTGAAGGAAGTCACTATTCCACGCGAACGAAGTCGCAAGGAAAAGCTAGTTGTCAATATGTTACACTCAAAAAGAAACAAGGATTTTTTTATCTTTTAAAAATAAAAAATTTTGCTCAAAATTAAGATGTGTTACAAACAAGTCTACTTGGTAGACTTGTCTTGTGTAGACAACAAATTAAACTATGGATTACACAAGGAGTTTCTATATTGCACTGCAGTTGTTCAGTCAAGCTCAGATTCATCATGAGCATATAAGTGCCCACTGCTGAGCAAAGGCCTCTTCTCACACGGAGAAAGTTTGAGCATTAATCACCACGCTTGCTCAATGCGGGTTGGCGATTTCAAACTTATAATAAGAAATTATAAGTCCAGGTTTCCTCACGATGTTTACCTTCACCTTTTTTCAGTGGTGTCTAAATAATCATAGAAAGTACATATAACTCGGAAAAAGTCGCATTGGTACTTTCCCAGTTTCGGACTTACACCCTCATGCATGAGAAGCCGGTTCCTTAACCTTCGGGTCACCACGACCTCACAAAGCTCAGATTACTTATATTCAATTAACAATTCCTTTTTATATGATCGGAAAATTCAATCTCCCTATGTTCCTAATTTTTTAGTCAGATTCTTAGTGACTAAAAACCACCCCGTTCCTACTCTTGGGCCGTGCTACAGTTGCAACTAGCCCTGTCCTTAAAATATGCCTTAGTAAGTTTTAATTGGCTCAGGAAACAATTAACTGATTACAGTGATAGATAGGTACTATTTTTTTTCTTTCATATAAAAAATGCAATGCAAATAACTCTAAATTACCATTTACAATTTAGTCTAGTGATCTCTAAAATTTTTTACCGTTGGTCGTGGTGGCCCGGAGGTTAAAAAGCCCGCTTCTCATGCATGAGGGTGTAGATTCAAAACCTGGCGAGTACCAATGTGACTTTTTCCGAGTTATATGTAAATAAACCTAAGTACTTTACATAATTATTGAGACACCAATGACATACGGTGAAGGTAAACATCGTGAAAAAACCTGGACTTGTAAATTCAAATAATAAGTTTGAAATCGCCAACCCCCGTTGAGCAAGCGTGGTTCATCATCATCATATCTGGAATCTTTCCACATCAACACACAATTCAAATTCAATACTGAACTGTTTTTGCAGATTCGCAGAGAAGCCATGTCTCACTGAAAATGGGGCCAATCAAGACATTTCTTCTTTTCCTCATATTCAAAACATGTGCCAGCGAAAATTTAGATCAATTCTTTCGTAAAATAAACGAAGAAACTGGCAACTTTAGTTCCATAGCAGCCAATCTAGCGTGGGAGTCTTCAATAAACCCTGGCAACCCTGATTTACCGGCACGATCGGCGACATATCAAAAAAATCGAATAAAATGGCAACACAGGACTTGTGGGAAACTGGCAACACTGTATAATCGTCAGTCGTTGAATGCTACTCAAAGGAGGCAGTATTATTTAATGTGTAGGGGACCGAAATATACTTTTGATGAAACAAGGTAAAATTTTAATATAGCTCATACATATTTTGGTAAAGGCAACACTTCTCTGGTCATCTATAAGCAACACGGATCATTTTAGATCAGGTGATACGTATTATTTGATCTAGCTTCTCGCAGCTTTCCTAAAAATGGAGACCTGCAACAAACTCGCTACACTTACCATACATTTATTTGTTTTAAGTCATCATGATAATTATAGGTTTCTTATAGCAAAGGGATGAGCCAGTGTTTGCCAAATGCCAGACGATTTAATATTCTAAAATTTTAAGACTATGTACTAAACATTACTGTGATTTCCAAATCGGAACAAAACTTTTGCGGAGCCCAGGTTTTAAAACCGAAGCCTTTTAGTTTATGTTTATACACATTAACTCTCGACCGGCAAAGTTTTCTGTAATAACAATAAAGCTCAAATAATAAATTATATTTGCAGAATAACAAGTAATCTTTACGAAGAACTACAGTCCATATACTCAGACGCCGAAATATGCATTCCAACGGACACAAATATTACCACGAACAACCTGACGCAAGTCGAAGCCGCCATCTTGAATTATCTGTCAAACGTACAAACTTTTTTCACAAACCAATATGGCGATGATTGTCTTTTTGCCGCCAAATTCGCTGTCAACCGTTACATTCAAGATACAAATATGGTTTGTTTGAAAGGCGAGTCTGATTTTGATAGAATGATGGCTTTTTCGAGGAATGAAGAGGTTTTACGTTGGTTGTGGTTGGTTTGGAGGGAAAAGGTGGGACCTCCTATGAAGGAACCTTATCGGAGATTGGTTTCTATTGAGAATAAAGCTGCTAGGCGGAATGGTAAGAGTAACTTTTTGGAAAACTCTTGTCAAATGGCAAAACCTGCCATTATTAATATTTTTTTAACTTTGCCCTACACTTATGTTTTTTTCTGTGTCGTGGCAAACACACAAATTCACAAAAAAAAATCACACCCAGATTCGAAACAATAATAATAATATGTGGATTTTGCCCGATCTTGATGTCAAATCGTACTGTCCTCGATCCAAAATGAGACTTGCGAAATTCGAGCAACAAGGTCATTCATCTTAAACTAACTTACAATGTTCTAGGGTACCTAAACATTGGTGTCTCTTGGCGTGAAGAACTGGAAGTATCGAAGCTTCGCGAACTATCTCGACAGCTCTACAACGATATTAAGCCATTATACACCCTATTACATGGAGTAATGAGGTTCTATCTTCGAAGGTTCTATGGAGACATTGTGCCTGCTTATGGACCTATTCCTGCTCATTTATTGGGTAAGGATATTCATTTGTTTTTTTTTTTTTTTTTTTTGAAGGGAATAGTTCGATTGGCTTAGGCCACTGTGTGTGGGGCGAGAGGAAGGGTGAGACTATTATTACTGGTATTGAGTGCAGTATTCCCCAGAATTGAAGCGCATCGCTTGCGGATAATCGCATGAAAGCCATCGACCCTAGCCTCGGCAAACATCCTTGAGGCACTACAAAAAACTATAAATATTGTGTTATGAAACTAATATTATTATTGTTTTTCTGTTGTGGCTTTTCGATAAAGCGTTTTCTGTTCTCTACATACCTTTTGAATGCGATAGAATTTCTACTTCTGTATGCGAGCATCGCCAATTCTAGTAGTTATTTGCTAGGTCAGCGCAATAAGGTACAGCCTGGAGCAGGAGAAAAAACGGGGGTTGTTTTTAGTCGGGGCGAATCTGATACTCCTTCTTACCTCATCCTGGGCGAGACAAATCATTTGATGATTTTCCCCTCTCAAAAGAAGACCTGCCTACTTCTGTAAGCTAGCACCGCCAAGTCATGTGGTCATGGAATATTGACAAGTGATAGTCAATTCAAATGTTTTCGAAAACCGTTGAAAATGGTGGTATCCGTCCAATAGTAGGGCAAAGCTACCTTTTATCTATCCTCCATCTACCCCTTTCTGTGCGAAGCTTTCTTCGGGCAATACTTGTTATAGGCACCAAGTTTATTATCTTCTTCTTCAGCCAGAGCGATTTCTGGACTAGGTACACCCAGTAAAGAGTTTTGTCCACCGCTCGACCTTTCTCGCAGAGATTTTTAACGATAACCTAAACTGGTTCTTGTAACAATTTTCTTCTAAAAAAACTGCTTAGAACTGGGTTACGTAACTATAGAATAACTTTGTTAGGCGCTAAAATACCATTCAGCACATTAAACAGAACGAATGAATTCTTAATTGCCAAAAGGTAATTTAATTAAACGATGCTACGTAAAATATTTCAGGAGATCTTTGGTCGCAGAACTGGGAGCCTCTAGCGGATTTGTTACTGCCTCGAACTATAGACTTAGATGAGAGTATTCAAAAACTGAACTGGACTGTTATGCATATGGTAAGACATGTTTTTTTTCTTGAAGCTAATTACAACACCCTCTAATTAGCTCCTTTTGATTGTAGCGTGATGTTTTATAGCCTATAGGACTCAGGAACCTTGTAGATATGTATCAGTGAAAGACTTTTGGCAATCCGACCAGCGGTTCCAAAGATTACCCCCTACATACAAACTTACAAACTTTACCTCTTTATAATATTAGTATAGAACAGTATCTACTTACTGCCTCAAATTGGAATAATATCAGTCTTGTAGCTTATCAATTTTGTAATGTCACTTATATGACTGGTACGTATGGTACACAAAATTTCAGTTTTTAGTATTTTAAGTTTTTATTTTTCCATATTTTGTCACTGCTCTAATCTTCAATGGACTTTTACGAATACAAGTAGACCAAAATTAACTTAGTTGATCCAGTCGTTTTAGGTTTTAGCGAGAATAAAAAACTGCTTTTAATTTTTTAAACGTTATGCAATTTGAGTTTTTAGATAATCTATATAGTTATTTACAAAATGAAAGAAAGATATTAAAATCTTTTGCTAAAAACTTAAAGGAACAGAGTACGTACAGAAAAAACATAAGATTCTTTATATTTCTTAAATAGGTTACATAACACTTTAAAATATTACAGGCAAGAAGAGCCGAAGACTTTTACCAATCACTCGGACTGCCCGCCATGACAGATACGTTTTGGCGCGAATCCGTGTTTTCGCGGGAAAATAATAGTGACACCCGCTGTCATGGCACTGCGGCAGACATGTTTAAAGATGGCGACTTCAGGTATGTGTTTCATGTGCAGGTGTGCGTCACAAAAATGGATATAAATAAACGTCGCATTGATAGTAACCAATCTATATAGCTGGTCTTTCACAGAAGTAGAATTCAGCTGACATACTTTCTAGTAAACACTAAACCTAAGCAAACTTTGTGAAGAGAGAATTATTATTTTTTGTTTTTTTTTTTTTAAAACCTTGCCTCACTTTAGGATTTTCTCCTGTGTTGCGGATGCGTTTACAAACATACAATGTCACATAGACATGACACCCAGACCCGAAACAACAATTTGTGGATCACACAAAGTGTTGTTCCGTGCAGGAATCGAACCCGCAACACGTTGTACGGCAGCCAGTTGCCCAGCCACCGCACCAACCGTGCAGTCAAACCTATTATACATATATTATGTCTTTACCAATCACGAGACCACAGGGTCCCAGTAATTTGGGAGGCGGACGTAGGGCCGGAGCCAACTACGCAGAGGCCCTTTAGACAACCTTAATCTAATTAATAATAGGACACAAACCGGCGTTATTATTATTATTGAAAAAGCTCATAAACAAGGGTAGCTTGCCGCTAGACTAGAACCAGATCAGAGTTTACTCCGCGTCGTGTTTCGCTCGCGCCTTCAAGAGCCAACAGACCACCACAGATGGACCCAACAGGGCTGATGCGAAATTTGAAAACTGTTCTCAATTTATATCGCTTTAGTGTGAGTGCAAATTTTCTTAATTTCCAGATTGCTGTATTGTTCAGACGTTTCAAAGGAGGATTTCTATGTTCTACATCATGAACTAGGTCATATACAGTACTACATGGCTTATGAACAACAACCAGCGATATACAGGGTAAGTTTTTTAAGAATACATTTGAGATTATAATGATTTTAATAATTAAACAAACTAGTAGAAGGATTACTTGATAGTAAGCAATTAACGCCGCCCATGGACACTGGCCATTCCAAAGGAATAATAAACTACAAGTGTGTTGCCGGGCTCTTGTGGGTTATTAGGGATTTAAGATTAGAGCTTTTCAAAACCTAAGAAATAAAAAAACTGTATGATCCACGAATTGTTGTTTTCCTTCACCGTATGTCAGTGGTGTCTAAATAATCATAGAAGGTACATATAACTCAGAAAAAGCTACATTAGTACTTGGTACTTGACAGGTTTCAAACGCGTTAACCTCTAGGCGACCAATTTCCCAAATAATATTCTTCTTTGAATTTCCAGCAAGCCAATGCGGCGCTTCACGAGACTATAGGAGACGCTATCATGTATGGAGTACTTACACCTCAACATTTGAACAGACTAGGACTCATCAACGATTCCCTACTTTACATAAATAATAATCAACCTTCAGATAAACTACTTGAAGACGAAAATGCAAAAATCGACACAAAGAAGCATAACGATGATGAAACCAAAGAAGTTATTATAAATGAAGTTTTGAAAGAAAACTTAGAAGAAGCTCATGTACATTTAGATGAAAAAGAAACACCAAAACTGTTTGAAGATCAGGACGTAACTACAGATACGATACTCTTGCTAAAGCAAGCCTTAAACAAGTTACCACAGATACCGTTTTCCCTTGCAATCGATGAGTACAGATGGAAATATTTCGAAGGCAGTTTGCGAGGAGTGAATAAAGAATTTTGGTCTTTAGTGGAAGAGTTGCAGGGTATAGCAGCGCCTGGTGAAAGAGGAGAAGAGTATTTTGATGCAGGAGCGAAGTTCCATGTTCCAGATAATACGCCATATATTAGGTAATTACTCTTACCGTCGTCGCACTCAGAATAATTTATTAGTAATTTAGTCCAGTCTGTGGCAATATCTCTGAGCTAAACTCAAGCTAAGCCTTAGCACAGTCTAAGCTCTGAAGTAGATTTACAAATGTCATCTTTTTATAAATTACTAAGTGTCTCCACTATTGAATGGGTTTCATTATACATATATTCCTCTTTAATCACTTTATTTCTATTAAAAAAAACGCACCAATATCCGTTGCGTAGTTTTAAAGATTTAAGAATACATAGGGATATAGGGACAGAGAGCGACTTTGTTTTATACATGTAGTGATGTAGTAGGTTTCTCTTCTTCTTCTTCAATTAATAACATGCCCACATTTTCCAATCTTCTCCGTCAAACGTCGCCCTATCACAAATAGGGCGTGTATTCATGGGCGGCGCTGATTGCTTACCATCAGGTAATACGCTCGTTTGCCGTTTTATCACATCAAAACAATTATGTCCATTTCCCAGGTACTTCTTAAGCAGCTTCCTGCAGCACCAACTATTCGAGAAACTGTGCAAAGCTGCTATATTCGGACGTCGGAACGCCGATGGAGATATACCGGAGACCATCAGTCTGACGAGATGCGATATATACGGGTCCAAAGCTGCCGGGAAGATTTTGAAGTAAGACCTTTTTACAAGTGGAAAGCCAAAACTTCTTTCATGTCTGGACATTTTCTTTTTCTACCAGTCTTCTTTTTTTGCCACCGAGGTTGCGGGTCAATTGTAATGTTCCACGGTCCCCGCCCGGAGCAATAGAAGAATCGGAGAGGTTTTTAGTCAGTAAGAGTCTGACACTCCCTCTCGGGCATGAGAAGTCACTGGATGGTCATTCTCCTTCAAAAAACCTTTTAAAAAAGCCCTCTCAGAAGCTCTTTTAGCTTGGGAATGATCTAACATCAAATAAAGTTCCTTGTTTAATTTAGAACTAATATTTATCTAATATTTTTACAGAGATTTCATGTCTCGAGGGCACTCGCAACATTGGAGTCAGATTCTCGAAGCGACAATAGGAGAACACGTCATATCCGCGTCAGCGCTAAACAGATACTACCGCCCGCTGTACGTGTTGTTAGAAAAATTTGTGCGCGCGCACCGCATTCCTATTGGCTGGTAATTTTATTTTGTTAATTTAATTTATTTTATTATTATTCTTGTAGTTCTAGTCTTATTAAATTTGTTGGAGAGATTAAATCGTTTGTTTTTTTTTTCATGATATTTGTATTTTTTTATTGTCTTATTCTACGTCTGGACGTTAAAGGGCTGAACCCCAATAATTATTTTCGGACAAGACACCGTCGCCGTCCGGGAGTCCAGCCCGCGATACGATCCACGGCAGGCGCTTAAACAGACACCTAATCAACTGTGTAGCCAAATATACATTATATAAGTACTTTAAATACCATCTCATCTCATCATCATCATTGTCAGCCTATAACTACATACCTACTGCTAAGCAAAGGCCTCTTCTGAAACGGAGAATGGTTGAGAATTTAATCATCAGGCTTGCTCAAAGCGGATTTTTGATTACAAACTTATAATTCGAAATTACAAGTTCAGGTTTCCCCTTGATGTTCTCACTCACCGTATGCCAGTGGTATCTAAATAATCTTGGAGTGTATAAAATAAAACTTCACCTTGGTGATTGCCAGATTTCGAACTGGCCTTACCCTCCAAAATATTAAAGAATAGCTACTCCTGCGCGGTTTCACTCACTGCTTGCCTTCATTTGATTGTAGCGTGATGTTTTATAGCCTATATAGCACTCTGGAACATTGTAGCTACCAAAAAGTGAAATAATTTACCTCTTTATAATGTTACTATAGTTGAAATACATAACTTCTTACAAATTAGTACTTACTTACAATAATAAAAATAAAACACATTAATAAATTAACAATAAATACAATTTATTAAGTTAACATTAAATTACGTACAATTTATCAACAACATTTTTTTTGTTCGCATCGTTAATGAACAAAAACAAAATAAAAAAATACGTCTTAAAATTATTATTGACAAAAAATAGTTGAAAAATAAAATTGTAGGTACAAAATAAATTAGAAGCAGAATAATTTACTAATAAAGCATATTTAAATTAATACTTTCTTAATTAATTATTTTTTATTTACATTAAAAGAACATATTGTAAAAAGTTGTAAAAAAAATCTTCTAAAAAATATTCGTTTTGTTGCGTATTTACAATGAAGTACATAGCGGGATATTTACAAAAGATATTTATTTGATAACAATAAAGATAGGAGCCAATTATTGCTCACCAATGCCAACAAAAATGAAACAGCCTTCATCTGCTGTTCTTAGAAAGATTTAAGTAAATTAATTAATCTTTAACAACGTTAATATTGTTATTAAAACAATGCTAAGGACTGGTAAGTAATCAATAACTCTACTCTAGTACGAAATAAGCTTTAGATAACTCAAACAAAAATAAATGTATGCATGCACCAACATTTGTGACCAACAATTTAATCCAATCTCCATGTCTCAAAATAAGGCACTATAGGTACGTAAGAATTATGTTAAAAAAATTGTAATTACACTGAGTATTATTATGTTTATCATGCAAAAATAATCCCATTATTTAATTTAATTATTTTTTATCACAATAAAATAACTTAAAATAAATTATTTCAACAACAATTTTTGAAATGAGTGACATTTATTTTTTGTTAAATTTATTTTTTAAAGTTGTAACTAAAGATGATTTTATTTTGTTAAAAAAGATAGTAGGTAATAATAATTTTATTGACTATTTGGTGGAGTGGGGATTTAAAAAAATAGTTTATTACTATAAAAATATTATGGTAAAGTATACATAAATGTACAGACACTGGCAAATAAACATATACCACTTTAAATTACCATCAATAGATTTTTAACTTTATTGCTTGGGAATAAATTTGCAAATCGATTGCAGAATGCCAACATACTCAAGCATATTAATGGCATATTAAGCAGCAATGAAAATTATGTCTAATTTCGATCCACATAATTATAAAAGTATCCAATGTCAAATGAAAACCGCCCATATTCTTTAGGAAATAAAAATGCTATTAAAACGAAGTATTTTCGTAACCTAACGATTTCATTGGACTGTAGTCTGGGATAATGGAGATTAATGCTTTAGAGTTAAGATCTTCATAAACATATGTAGGTACAACCATATTACAGGCTACTTGAGTTTTCATAAGGATTTTGACTTTTGATGAGTTGGTATTACTTAGATAAAAAAAGATCTTATTTGTTCTCTTCTTTGAGTATATAAAAAAACCGTTTGATGCCTTAGCAACACTGTATAAAGCACTCAAAACGAAACAAAACTAAACAAAATCAAAACTAAAAAAGATTAAGTAAAACTTTCATTTAAGAAAGAGTTTTTAATCAAGTTTAGTCTTAACAATATTTAGTGTCCGTTTTTAATCACCATTAAATTTTTTTACAGAAATTCAGTAGTCAATCAAATTTGAGACTTAAGTCTTAAACTTTTAATCACACAATGCACTGTAGTTCGTTCACTTCACATATCAATGCTATGATAAGGTTGTGGCGTGTGATATCCAGTCGACTGTATGGGCGACCCTGTGGTAAATGCCTGGTTGGCCTCTACTAGCACAGGAGTAACCTGCGGAGACGACTCCAATGAGGTACCAACGACCAGCCCGTTCCAGCATCAAAGGCCCCCCACTGTCTCCTTGGCAGGAGTCCTTGCCACCACCTCGGTAGCCCGCGCACAACATCTCTGGGTAAATTACCACGTTTATACCTGGAACATTGATTATTAGCGTTAGTAAATTATGAATACAACAGAGAAAGGGTCGGCTCGATCAGAGTGATACCACGATCTCATAGAACACCGACGTGAAACAACGCTTTGGTTGTGTTTCGCCGCATAAGTTAGTTTACCAGAAGCCCAATTCTCCCCACTCCCGCCATTCTCAATCCTGAAAACCTCCAAGCCTCAAATGTGCGGTGCTTATTGTTTACCACCAGGTAATCCCTCTGATCGTTTACCGACGTATGGCATAAAACATATAGGTTTTTGGTCAGTATGAGTCTGACAGTACCCTTCGCCCTTCCCCGAGGGCGGTGGGTCTCCATGAGGATTTTCCAAACCGACACCAAAAAAAAGTGTGTGTTTCGCGACATGAGTTAAGTTACCAGAGGTCCAATCCCAATCATCACATCCCAAGAATCAAATTCCCTATCCATAAATCCCTTATGTTTTCAAAAGACTTAAAATAAATAAACAATAGAAGAAGTAAATAAAGGGTAAACTGAATATTTATGTTTAAGTTATTAGTACATATATTAAATTTCTCCAGACTTCAATAACTAAACTCCAACTTTATTTTCCCCATCCAAGAAGGCTTGCAAAGAAAACAAACAAAAACCTTACCGTTAGCCCGATGCCACCGCTCACAGACTCTATTGTCCAGTACTGGGACGTCCACAGCCTGTAAGGTCCGAGGTCTCAGTCTGGAGCCAGGACTGAGTGCCCCCCAGCCAGCTGCCCAGCCGTACTGTCCCAGGAAATCGGAGCCACGCTCCGGGAGACAGATCGGTGCTGGAATCAATGGTAATAGATATAAGTGTGGGAGAGCTAAGCTTCAACATCTAAGGGTCGGCTCGACCGGAGTGATACCACGGCCTCACAGGAAACCGGCGTGAAACAATCACACCTTTGTGATTCTTCGTGTGAGTGAAGTAACCGGAGTCCCAATCCTTCCCGCTTCCTCCATCCCTTCCCAATCCTTCAATAATATCCGAAACCTAATAGTCCGGCAACACACTCGTAACTCCATTGGTATTGCGTGTGTCCATGGGCGGCGCCGATTGCTTACCATCAGGGCCTCGAGTCTGCTATTATAATAGTGTCAGAATAGTAGATCATTGGTTTCATTATGACTTTCCAATGCCACTTCATTGAAATAATTCATTAGAACGGTAATCTTGTACATGTACAAATGAATATTTGACATAATGCGGTAAATAAATAAAAAAATGTCAGTTCCTTTATTCAATGATTTACGTTTAAAATATTAATGTGCAATGATTGTTTATAATTCGTTACAAGATATCTCGTACTATAATTCTATTACGACATCGCCGGACGCCAATGATCAGCCATTTTGAATTAACAGATACGAAATGGTGATTTGATTTCTCCAGTTCACAGTACTAACCTAACCTTACCTACCATTCTGGTAGAAACGCGGTTTTCATGACACTCCCTTTACCTTCCAACCAACTTATAACATGGTTGAGACATTAAGCCGCTCAATCAAACGACTAGTCATTCAGACACGTTTCTATGTACATGTATATATAGGTATATACTAATATTATAAAGAGAGAAGTTTGTATGTAGGGGGTAATCTTTGGAACCGCTCTGGTCGGATTGCCAAAATTCTTTCACTGATAGATAGCTACAATGTTTCTGAATGCTATAGGGTATAAAACATCAAGCTACGGTTAAATGGAGCCGAGCAGCGGGTGAAACCGCACGAGAGTAGCTAGTAGTAGATATAATTATCTGACGATCTTGTTATTTATCGATGAGATTGACGTCTTTTCACCTCAAAAAGGTAATCCTGGCCTGGTCTAGCAACCAAAAGATTATAATCATATCTACGGAGAGGACTTGATTTCACGACACAGGTGTTCCTAGTATCCCAAAGACACTGATTCTTTTTTATTAGCCAAGAAGAAGAAACTCACAGAAAACCGGCCTGAAACAACCACATCATTGTGTTTCGCCTTGTGAATGAAGTTATTGGAGGTCCACTCTTTTCTCTCCCCCAATCCCTAAATACCCCGAACCCTAATCCCCAAAAGGTCAGTAACACACTCGCAACTTCTTCATTGTTGTGGGTGTCCACGGCGGCGCCGATTGCTTACCATCAGGTAATCCGCCTGCTCATTTGCCGACCTATTTCATAAAAATAAAATTGTATAGCGTTCCGGTATTTTCATGGTTGTATCTTCTCTAGATCCCAACTTACTGAGTTGCAGCGACTTAGGAAGGCTATGGATGACTTGTCCCACAAAAAATGGAAGAATAAAATCCATACTCACCTATATGAGGCATGTAATGTACATTTCTATCCAAGGTCAGGACAGCCACGTCGAATCGATCAGCTTGCGGTGTAAACTTGAATAGAGGATGTACTTTGATAGTTCGGACTCCAAAAGTGTATGCGGGCAATGGTTCCGCTGCAGAATTGATGACGTAGTCTCCGAGGGTCACGCGGACATGGCGAGGTTGGGCTCGAGCTACGCAGTGACCGGCAGTCACAACATGCCGCCTCGATATTAAGGAACCACCGCACCTGTAATGTTTTTGAGGAGCTGGTTAAGCAAAATGTACATATGTATAATGGAATTTTGTCTAATGATTTTCAACTGTATTGTTATTTTTCTTAGAGTCGAAATTGTTTTGAAGTCTCTACCCAGTAGTACCTTAGCTGAATTTAAAAAAATACAGCCGTATAAGTAGATTGTGTATAACACACACACATATAAAACAAGATCGGACAATAAAAAAGTTGAGCTTCAGTTTGTAAAAGCAACCTTAATTTATAAACCTTAGCATTCATTTTTCTACTTTTCAGATCACTAGTCTGTACAAAGAACACATGCAAAGCATTCCATCATGCTTCGATAATTAAAATTATAAATACAAAATAAAATAAAAACTTACCTGTAGAAAAAATATGGTTAAAAAAAATTAAATGTTAATTTTGTTAAAATTAGTACAAAAAAATAATGTTAATAAAAATAAAACCTTAATTTTTCGATTCTATATAAGAAGAGGAATGTGCGAAAAAGTCGGTGATATAATATAATATTTATAACAAAATTAGAATTTTGCTATAAAATTTAACTACGAAGAAAAGAGATAGAAGATACTACGTTCATACGTCTAGAAAAGGAATCCAATTTTGAAAATTGCCTACGAAATACTTGATCAGTATTCGGCCAGTCATTTTAAGTGACAATATTTTTTTTCAATTTTCAAAATTGGAACAAGAACAATTTACACTATTTAAAACTTTTTTTTTCTAAGATAGCAGACATATTTAGGTTACGCCGTTATGAAAACTGCCAAACCCATTGAATTATGAAAGTTTAGGAACAGAGATGGCGCTTGTAGACTATGAAACCTGCGTTGTACGCTAATTTCTTTTGATATTAACAACTACAATGGCTGGTATTATATAATTAATAACCAAAATTAGCAAATAGCCATAGTATTTTGAAAATGGCCGAAAATAATAAGTACTTATAGGTACCTAATTTATGTAGGTATGGATACATTTTTGAAAAGCTTACTGTTATATTTTTCATGATATCAAGGGCATTCTGTTCTCATGACGTCACAACGTAACCTTAATATGTCATCAAAAACCCACTACAAAATTAAAAGTAGGAGTTGCTGGACATCATGCTATCTCTTTCGCACATTTACCTCTCTATCCAACACTGCTTCCAACCGATAAGCTCGAATATCGACATAAGCATGTTGCATCTGTAAAATCAATTATTAATTCATGTTAATACATTAATGTTAATATTAGTCATATTTAATAATGATTAATATTATTAAAATGGAAATAATAAATTTGTTTAAATAAAATAAAATAATTTATACTAAACAGAATAAGTGATAATATAAATTTAATTATTTTTTATAAAAAATAAAATTGAAAAACTTTGCAATCCCGACATTTACTGTTAAATAAGTAAATCAATCATACCATAAATTTAATTTAATTTAAATTGAGACATGAAGGAAATTGAAATGAGTTAAAAAAATATTATTTCCATTTTTATATTGTTATTATTTACACAAGTACATAGTACAATATTTGGCACGCGCAAAAAATACTTTTTTATGTCAAAGTTAAGTAATTCTGGAGTCCCGATGAACATACATATTAACGTTAAGTGACAGCAGGGTAGAATGCAATTGCGACCTTTTTGCTTGCTGTAAGAATAAGAACAGACTAACAAGAGATCGGCAAGCAGTCATAGGCATATAAATAAAATAGGTATAGGTACTTTAGTTTTTTTAGTTATATACAATATAAATGTGGATGGATGGAGAGGGAGAAGGAGACCAAAGAAAATATGGATGGATTGTGTGAGAAGTGATATGGAAGACAGAGGAGTTAGCGATAGCGTGACGTGTGACAGGACAGAATGGAAGAAAAAACATATTGCGCCGACCACAAATAAAACGGGACAAGGGCAGGAAGATGATGATGATGATGATACCTATTGCCCGCAAATACCAATGTAACTTATTCCGACTTATATGTACTTTCTAGAATTATTTAAATACCACTGACATACGGTGAAAGAAAACATCGTGAGGAACGCTGGACTCATAATTTCTAATAGATAAAAGTTTGAAATTGCCAATCCGCCTTGAGCAAGCTTAGTGATTAATGCTCAAACCTTCTCTGTGTGAGAAGAGGCCTTTGTTCAGTGGGCACTTATGGGCTATGTAGAGTCTGCACAGTTATTCGATATGCAGGTAAGATAAAGATTGATTGAGTAAGTGCAGAGATAGTAAGCCTTGTTCGACTACTGAGTCGAGTTTTATGAGAGGGTAACATCATCAAAAGATTTCTCCCGCCCAAGGTCAGCCAGTAGGGAGTGTCAGACTCTTACACCCGGTTTCTGAAAGGCTTGTCAACGCTAAAATTAACTAATCTCGTGTTAAATCTCTTGTCAAGTCATCTGATTGGTTGTTGATAATTCAGTCAACCAATCAGATGACTTGACAAGAGATTAAATTGATTTTAACATTGATCGGCCTTTCGGAAACCCGGTGTTACTGTCTAAAATCCCCGACGTTCCTTCTCCTGCTCTAGGCCGAGGCAACGTTATGCGTAATGCCATACCGAAGAGAAATTAGGATTTATTTTCTCATAGTAAAATAAAATAAACAATTTTGCGTGAACCAAATATTAGTTAAGTAGGTATTATTACAAAGTTATCAATTAGTAACATTTTAGTCAATTAAGTACTTAGTGCATATATTACAATATTATTTGTAACAAACATAACATAACATTAATATCGTGAAACATACTAAATTTATTCAAAATAACGACTTAATCACGTGAATTAAAAGAGAAAGGTTCTATCACTAAGTTCTAAGTGTGGGAGTGCTTCGGCGCGAATGGGTCGACTCGACCGGAGTGATACCACGGCCTCACAGAAAACCGACGTGAAACAACCACAGCGTTGTGTTTCGCCGTATGAGTGAGGTTACCGGAGGCCCAATTCTTTCTCTCGCTCAATCCCTCCACAATCCCCAATCCCCAAATGGTCGACAATCGACAACCCAGTCGTAACTGCTCTGTTGTTGCGGGTGTCCATGGGCGGCACTGATTGCTTACTATCAGGTAATCCGTCGGCTCGTTTACCGAACTATTGGTAACACAACGGGACTCTTATTAATAGGCAGCGTTCGCTTCGCCGTCACGCAATCAACATGGATAAGACTCTCATTTGGACTTAAAATCAGTAGAGCTAATTTTTTAAGTCGACGAGGGTAAGTTGTTATTCTGAATATATATGGCTGGTGAAAACTGGTTATATATTATTATAAGCAAAGCACCCTTGCCTAAAACCGTTTCGGATTATAGACGTAACATTAAGTTATTAGATTAGACGTATATTATGTTATTTATATGTTTGTTACTATTTTGTGCTGTTTTATTTGTAGACACATATAATTGTTGAGATTCAAGACAAAATGTAAGGTTGTGTAGAAAAATCGTTTGTGAAATCTTATATGTATGAAATCAATGACGTATTATATATAGACACGTCATGAACCAACATCGCGGCGCTTAAAAACGGCGAAAATACTAGATAACTACTTCTATGAGTAAAGAAAGGGAAAGAAAATATGACATCGTATAGTGGAATGCCTTTGCTAGAGGGAGATAAATATACATCTTCAGTTACATCAGCACGTGACTATACCTTCATGCGCCGGCCGCCATAAGATGGCGGGCGCCGGCGTCGAAAAAATAAAATAAAAATAGGTTGTTTGGTGAACTTACGCATGAAATGACACATTTTTGTCTTTAACTTTTGGAGTATAATTTGTACATCGTCTGAACACACACGACGGCATGCTTTCTTTATGTTTCGCATAGGTTTACACACACGATATAAATTAAAAACAAACGTAGCGTCGAGCGGCAGGTTGGTGCGTAACTAAGCGCGATGTTGTCAAATTGCCTTCATTTCATGTTGTCATTTTAGAGCGCGGACAACGTATCTATAGTTTTATACATCATTGTGTGAAATGTAGTTTTTTGAATAGTACACCCCAAAATAACTTGTATATTGTGATGAAAAATGGAGCAAAATGTATAGTGTGTTTTATAAATATATACAAGCTATAAATATTATACATATACAATAAATACTAAATACTGTATACCCATAAACCTAATGCCCATGTGTTTTCAAAATAAAACTATTTATTTATTAGTATGACTATCAAAAACAAGCCAAAAGAAAACCTTTAAAATTGCATTATTAATGAAAGCAATTAAGTTTTACTTTTAACCGTTAAAAATATTTTTCATATCGACTTCGGAAACTAAAATTACGATTACGATTAAAAGCATTAAATATTCAATACATACTAATAAATAAATACAAAGAAATAAATTCACTACAAAATAAATGTCATAAATAAAATAAAATAAATGTGTCAAAATAAATACCTAGACACAAAATTAAATAACGCCAAAATTAAATAAATGTTTGTTTAACCTTGAGGATCCTATCCTGATGTATGCTTGCCAGGGGAAGGTACCGAAGCCAGCGTCGTCTCCACCAACAATCCTTCGCTGTGCCGTCTGCTTGCCAACTGCAATACCACAACCTGAAAACAAGGAAATAAAGATATTAAAAAAAAATGGTTTTAAAATTATGAATTAGAAACAGGGAGCCGATAGATGCAGGGGGCTTCCATCTGATTAATATGAAAGACTGTGAAGGTTGTTTATATTTAACAACTAGCTACTTTCGTGCTGTTTCACCCGCTGTTTGTCTCCTATTGGTCGTAGCGTGATGTTTTATAACACAAAAAGAATTGTTTAATCCGAACCAGTTATTCCAGAGATTAGCGCGTTCAAACAACTCTACAGCTTTATAATATTAGTAGGTATAGATAGTATGGATAAGGGTATTTTTTTCTTAAATACATAAATGTTAAATGTGTTTTTAGTATTTTTGTGTATGTGCCGTATATATTTAGATGTACATGAAGTATAAATCTGTTATTTAAATATTACAGATACGCTTATTTCATTTATTATATATATAGATGTAGATGTATGTATGAATTGAGATTGCAAATACAATAGCAGAGTACTTAAACCCACGGTTTGCCCAGTCGGGTATATTAATTTTAAATTTAAGTCAAGTCAAAAGTCAAAAATCATTTATTCCAATTAGATCCTAACAGGCACTTTTGAACGTCAAACAAAATTTTGAAGATATATTGTCAGTCTGTCGGTCAGTCCTCTTAGTGAAGCTATTTGCTCGTTCCAAAGTGTAGTTATTCAGATGGAGAAGATCGAGCAAGAAACTCCATGGTTACTATTTTTAAATCAGTTTCACATACAGATTCCTGATTTTCTTTTACTGACTCCGGCCTGTAAATTAAATTTACAGTAGCTAATATAGTACATTTCATGTTTTAGTTGTTATATAATACAAGAAGTCGTACAAAATACACGAATTGAAGTAATCACAACGCCTTATAAACGGACAGGCAAAAAAATGAACTGTCAATGTCGGTCAGTTGTTTTGTGAAACTAAAACCTCATTCCCTTAACCTTTGTAACCTAGTAGGTTAAAAACATAATTTCATTTAAAATATGAAAAGTAATGATTAAGTTTAAAAATATTTTTCTTAATTATTGCGTATATGCGTTAGGTATGTCGATGCACAAAGTTTTTTTCCTTATGTCCCTCGCCAAGATTCATAAAATTGTTTTTTTTTATTTATTTATCATTTTTACAAATATTACATGATTATTACTATTAAATAGCAACCAAAAAACCACTAAGGTTTAAACTTGTGCTATCATGAATCATCTCAAATCGAAACATATTTTTATTTTTAGTTTTATATGTGTTTTATTCTTTGTTATATAAATCTAGCACATAGATCGATCATAGGTAGATAGTATAGTTACATTATGTGCCCACCCGGATTCGCACGGTTGATAATAAATTCTCCACTATTTAATGGATGTCACTGTCTATTAGAAAAAGGCGTTGACTTAAATATTCGACGACATCTCACAATCACAATTTACCATATGACTAACTCATACAACAGTTTCGCATTTTCGGACGTTGGAAATAAGATCTAATTGTGTTACAAATATCACTATCAAAAGATTTAAGTACAGTGCCCATAAATATTGGTCCTTTTATTTTTGTTCCGAACACACTCCGTCAGAGTATGAAACACCCATCATCCACCACTATTTTAAGTAATAGTTATATGTTTCTTTTGTAATAACAAAATTTATAAATCGTACCTGTATAATTCCAATTTGCCGATTCAACAGCGAATTTCTCTTTCATCTTTTTATATTTCGATTTTTTCTTTTCAATCGTTACCGTTATTAAAATACTTAAAATCAACACGATTATAAAAATCTTCATTTTAATCGTGTGTCAATTAAAATAATTTAAACGATTTTAAAACACATTTCAATCACATAAAAAAAAACATAAACCCTGTCATAATATTATTTTTTAAATATGGCACTAATTTATTTATTTATTTAATTTATTTTATATAATAATTCTCTCCCATGTTTCATTCTAGAGTCCAAATTAATAAAGAAATAAACTTCAAACCAATAAACTATTTATACCACTTATTTATTGTTAACATTACACCACTATTACAACAAAATTAGTCACCATTTTTTTTAACTAAAATACTCGAAAAGCCTTTAAAATAAACACAACAACAAAATAAATTAAACAAAATAAAAATTTAAACATCAATTATTTGTAATAAAATTATTTTATTACAACATGTAAATTCACCGATGCATAACTAAAAATTCACGTCACATTTTATATAATACCTACGTCAAATAATTTATTTATTAACGGATAAATGGACACGTGTTTAACTAAATAACGATTTTTACCGACTAAACTAAGAATTGCTCTTTACATAACCAAAGTACATAACGTATTAAAGAATTTCCTCAAAGGAAATGCATTTACCGGTTTCGTCTAGTACATAAAGGAACTACATGTGTGCATTCATGAATATAAGTTATAAAAGCGATACGTTTTGTTGTATTTATGTATACACACATACATTTTAATTTCGTGTTGATTATTTGTAATGGGCAAATACCACGCGTCGTTTTTCTACGTAGTAGGCATATAATAGTTTGTTAATTAAAGTGTATCATATTAATTATATTGTATAATTTGTAGCATTATATTCTTTTAAATGATTGTTGTTTTTTTCAAGTGCGAATTTAATTTTGACTGACTGCACGGTTGTTGCGATGGCTGGAACAACACTTTGTGTGATCCAAATTGTTGTTTCGGGTTTGGGTGTCAAGTGTATTTGTACGTTAGTAACCTACGACACAGGAGAAAATCCTAGAGTGCGGCAACGTTTCTTTTTTTAGCAAAAAGAAAATTACCGGCTGGTCAAGAATCGTGAGCAAAAGTTGAAGCTGCACCAGCTCCGGGCAGGACAAAGAACGGGATAGTTTTTAGTCAGTTAGAGTCTGACACTCATTTTAAACAGGGCAAGAGGAAACATACGACAGTATTTCACCATTTGAAGTCACGAAAACAGCTAAGGCAAGTAACTTAATAAAAATACAACAAAAAAATGTTAAAAAATCTCTGACCATCCGATCTCAGCCTATCCTCCTACAGAATACAAGCGAGAAGTTATGTTACGTCCAAACCACATCCAAGATATCAACTTGAACTTTCGCGTTTTGCGGTTAAATAAGTATTTATGTGGTTAGGAAGTAATTTGTCACAGATTTCCTGAAATTGTCGCCTCGACTTTGAATTATTGTGATAAACCTTGACTTCTTTGATGCTTGCTGGTGTAGTAGCCGGCAAATGGATTAATTTATCTATATATACTATATATACTTGTCTTCTATATATATATCTATCTCTATCTATACTATATACTATAACTAGCTACTCGCGCGGTTTCACCCGCTGCTCGGCTCCATTTGATCATAGCGTGATGTTTTATAACCTATAGCACTCAGGAACGTTGTAGCTATCTATCAGTGTTATCATTTTGACAATTCGACCAGCGGTTTTGAAGATTACCCCCTGCATACAAACTTACAAACACACAAACTTACAAATTTTACCTCTTTATAATAGATATATACAACTCTGTTTGTCTGTCTGTCTTTTCTTCACGCCTAAACTACTGAACCGATTTCTGTGAAATTTGGAACAGACATAGTTTGGAACTCGAGAAAGAACATAAGATAATTTTTTTTAACCAAAAATCTGCAGGACGTCGCTATTCCACGCGGACGGAGTCGCGGGTAAAAGCTAGCAATATTATAAATGCGAAAGTAACTCTGTCTGTTACTCTGTCTTTTCTACACGCCTAAATTACTGAACCGATTTCTGTAAAATTTGGTACAGATATAGTTTGGAACTCGAGACAGGATATATAGTATAATAGTTTTTTTCACCAAAATTTTCCAGGAAATCACTATTCCACGCGGACGGAGTCACCTGGACAGTCTAAACTACCATCAGTTGACTGGACAATCTCTGCACTACATGAGCTGCTGTTTACATGTGAACATTAGCGCATGACGATACCTAAGTACGTGTGTCGCCTGGACAGTCTACGCTACCATCAGTTGACTGGACAATCTCTGCACTACATGAGCTGCTGTTTACATGTGAACATTAGCTCATGACGATACCTAAGTACGTGTGTCGCCTGGACAGTCTACGCTACCATCAGTTGACTGGACAATCTCTGCACTACATGAGCTGCTGTTTACATGTGAACATTAGCTCATGACGATACCTAAGTACGTGTGTCGCCTGGACAGTCTACGCTACCATCAGTTGACTGGACAATCTCTGCACTACATGAGCTGCTGTTTACATGTCAACGTTATGTGACGGTAGCGAAGAAGATAATTGAATTTCCAAATAAATTAAATTTCCTTTGTCAAAAAGATTGTTTTTTAATAATAAATAATTGAGTCATTAGCCTAGAATGCGGATTTTATGTTATGTAAGAATATAAGGTTGTGTAAGTTTCGGAAATAATATTACATTCTTGTTTATCTTTTAACTATATACAAAGATATATCACCGTAATTACGCGTTTATGGTGAGAGCAAAATAATATCACGCTTACTAATTCTTTAGAGAGACTGTGTCTTTGTAATTCCATGTGTTGGCTTCAGCTAAATTTTTTGTACTAGTTTGCATATAGGACCATACTTAGTTCTTTTCCTAAAATCCGATTGAATCCATACATATTGTGACTGAATATTGAAAAATGAACCCAATCAAAAGTTGAAACTAGTTATACCAGTAACATCATCAGCCCACGCCAAGCTATAGAATCTCTCGAGTTCGATTCCTGGACGGTGTAAAATGATTGTAAACCCACAACACAAGAAAATCTTAAAGTAGAAATAATAATAAAATGTGTGTACTCTATCCCCACGCTATCCCATTATCGAAATTAATTATTTATAAAAATATAGTACCGAATAGCTCGATAGATGGCGTTGGGATCGAGTTAAATCGCGATATGGTTTCGTTACACGGCAAATGGTACATGTATCTGAGGTTACATTGTTTCATTCGTGGATC